AGCATGAGAGTATAAAAGCTACCCCGGCGTATGTTAATTACGGTAGAGAACTTCGAATACCGGTAGACATATTGACGGGAGGGAAACCGGAGGGACTAGAGACCGTACAAGACTATGTTTGCAATTTAAGGGAAAAAATGCGCTATATACACGCCTTGGTTCGGGAAAATGGGTTACAGTCAAGTGAGAACATGAAAACCAGATACGACCGGAAATCGAACACGAGCGGCTTCGAGGAAGGGTCACTGGTGTGGCTACATAACCCAACTCGCCGAAAAGGGAAATCTCCAAAGTTGCAGACCAAGTGGGACGGTCCATACAAAGTGGTTATTCGACTAAATGACGTGACTTATAGGATTCAAAAGCAACCAAGAGGGACATTCAAAGTGGTACACATAGACCGTCTGGCGCGTTACCATGGCAGTAACAATGATGCTCGGGACGAGCATCTCTAAGAGGGGAGTAGTGTTACGAACACATTAAGAAACTAGCGCCATCTAGCGCCATCTAGCGTCAACCAGTAAACCGCTCAACGAACAAAGACAACATAAAACCCCCTATTCAATACTAGATGGCGCTAGAGGGACTACTGTGGAACTATAGTCTCGAAAACCGGGTACATTCGCGAACTTTCCAGAATCACGATCATGTTCGTGCGTGTCGGGTACGTTCCAGGAAGGAAATTTCTGGATTAGTCTGGGGGTCGTCTCGGCCCATATAAAAAGCCGCAGAGAGGCGAGCCAGGACAGTTCAGCTTGAGCTACCTTCAAGGCGACTTCGGAGCGAAAACTAGTGATCAAGAGCGATACCAGTGAAACCTACGACTTGGCTACAAAATAGGACATCGTTAGTGCTTAGTGTTTGAACCTAGTGCTTTGTGTTGGACCTAGTGCTTGAATAAAGTCTTCAAAAGAGTCAGCAGGTCTTTCTCTCCAAATCCTTCGAACCCCGAACACATAACAATAAATTTACACGTGAGCGTTTACACAAACGTCTAATTGTTTGACACGCCTCTTTATATAACCTCAGTATCATTAGATTCTTCTTAGTTGTGGGAGTGGCGTAATATGTATTTCACTATGGTTTCCGTGAAAAAGAAATTATAGAGAATAGATAGGCATATTATATGTTTTTAAACCAGTATTGTTTTTCGGCTTCATTTAATACGTGGGTCACACTCAAGGTTCTTAAAATATGTAGAAATATAGTACAATGTAGAAAGTTAGCAATATTATTATTGTTGGTCGAAGTGATCTACGTTTCTCTCTATATAACCTTGCATTCGATGGAATCACAGAGACAAGCATTGGGCCATTCTTTCTTAGAAGTCTCTTCTACAACATTTTCAAACGCACTCATCGCCTCTTCAGGGCTCATAACCAAATAACTTGAAGTTTATCTTTGATTCTTGGGAATTAAAGAACGTCGCAGGGTATCAGATCGAGACAATAAAGCGGATGACTCTTTATCTCGACACCTGCCATAGTCAGATAATCCATTGTTCGCTTCGCGGACTGCCCTGAAGCATTGTCGCGGTGAAGGAGGATCCTGCTTCGAAGGCGCTGCTGTCCATGACATTTTCCATGACAACAGGCAAACAACAGTCAACATACCAGTCTGCAGTAACGGTCCCCCATATTTCAGCTGTTAATATGAATATGTTATAATTTATATTATAAACCAGTCACCAAATTACCTTTCCGACCAAAGAATTAGGCAATTATATTTTTTCCTTAACTTCTTCCTTTCTTTAGTTTAGTTGGCCGATCCTCAAAAGAGCAACTCCCACTGAGTAACTGAGTTGTCTTTTGGTTTCGGGTTCGTAGAAATATAACCAAATATATCCAGCTTCCATCACCTGTGACGATGTCAAATACAACATTAGAGTCCCCTCCGTTGAACTTTTCTATCATTTCACGACACCACTGCGCTTTTTTCTATATAACTATTAAAGTGGCCCTACGCCACGTACGTCTGGGGAGTGTGGTAGCTGGGGCCCACCTTATTAAAAGATGACAACGCATCTGTGAGAGCCGTGATAGCTCGGTGTCCGGGCGCTCGCCTTTAATTCAATATACTCGAGCAACCTGATTTCGAAATTGTTAATTTCAAGTGCCGAATCAAGTGCTCAGCGGTGAAGGAAAACATCGTCAGGAAACCTGTATATTTTCGAAATAATAATAAAAAAAATATTTCGAAGATATGTGAAGTCCGCCAATGCGCAGTGCGTGGTGGTCTTTGCCCTCATACCGTCTGTACAGTGCAGGCCTTTGCCCAGCAGTGGGACATGTATAGGCTGATACTTCACTTTTTTATGCATCTGCAAGATGTTGCAAATTTCAATGGGCGGCGGTCATCACTTAAGGTCAGGCGAACCGCATGCTCGCTTGCCACCTTCTCACATAAAAAAAAATTAAAAGTAGTGTTCATTGGGAATATTTTTAACTAAATGGCTAGTTCTGAAAACTTTCAGTGTCTTCCTGATAATTTTTGCTTGTCTTGCTGACACCCAGGAAATATATATTATGAGCTAAGAATAGCTTGTTGAATTGTTAAGGTTAAAAAGTTATCATGAAGAGCATAAAAAATAATTCCACCTTTTTCTATTTATAACTAAGACCTCCTTTTTCAATAAAAGAAATATTTAAAAATGAACAAACAAAACCTTTTAAAAAAACAAGATCCGAATTCTCGAACTAAGCACTTGAAAATAACCCTCTTACCAATCTTAACAGCAAAGCTACTGCTACTAATTACTATCAATTATTTACTACTATATCATCTCTCTTATAGTATTGATAAAAACAAAAGACAATTAATATTGATGAATTATATTATGATAAAAAAAATAAAATTACTTTTGCACCCCACATGTGGCACAAACACGTATCTTTAGTATTATTATTATCCATGTATCGAAACCGAATTCCAAAGTAGATCACAGTCCTCGTCGTTACTATATTAACCGGTGGCCGCAACTGAGACGGGCCGGAGCCTGTTCGTTGGACCGGAAACTATGACGCAAACAAGAGATCGAATGAAAACATTCAGACAAAGACATTCGAACAAAAACGTGGCGAGGAACGCCTTTGCAACAACACCTTGACTTGGAACGCCCTTGACTTCAGAGAAAACAGTTGATTGGAGATCGGCTCTCATCTGTTCTCAAAAGAAAAATCTACAGTTGCTATTTTTAGACAGAAGCGTGCTAAAATTTGTTTTGCTATTATTATATTATTGCTATTAAAAATAAACAATATGCTTTATTTATTATAGTACATACTATATAGGACCCAACCAGACGGAAGCCCTGGCCAGGGGAGACCAAACTGCCGAGGGTTAGAGGGAAATTATTCTAATTGTAATGGTAGGGATATTTATTTGCTTTCTCGTCTGGTGGGGTTTATAAATAAAATTAAACATATAGATATAAATATTGTATGTAATACATTTATGTATGTAATATAGGACCCAACCAGACGGAAGCCCTCGGCAGGGAAAATCAAACGGCCGAGCGTTAGGGCGAAAGGGAGAGGAACCGGCGGACGATGCGGGTGGTATCGAGATGCACCGCCTTCTGCATTTGAGTTTCAGCCTCAGATGTTTGTAAAGGCTTTTTTTATGTGAAACCCGTGAGCCAGGTCAGATACTTCTAATTATAATTATTATTACAAATAAAAGTTATTAACTTTATTTAACATGTAATACATGAATACATGAGTAAAAAATTAAAGTAACGTAACATATCCTACAAATGTCCCACTGCTGGGCAAAGGCCTTCTTTGTATATATGCTATTATAGCATAGGCCCCACTGCGGATTGGTGGACTTCGCATATGGACGAAATATTTTTTTGTTATAGTTTCGAAAATATACAGGTTACTCACATAATGATTTGATGTTGTTTTGATGACTCCGTGGCGCAGTTGCCAAGGTATTGGCTTTGGCCTCGGGGGTCGTGGATTCAATTCCCACACGGGACAACTATTTGTGCGACCCACAGATAGTTGTTTAGCATCTGGGTGTTTGTCCATGTGCAATTTATGTTTGTAAAAACGTCCTTACAACACGGGATAATGTTGAACTAAAGTGAGGGCAATGTTTAAAAAAAAAGAAAAAAAATAATGGTTTAATTCACCGCTAAGCACATGGTAAGTGGCACTTATAATTAACAATTTCTTTGGTGCCGACACCGGGATTTGAACTCAAGTTGCTCATTTACGTATATTGAATTAGAAGCTAGCGCCGATTAGTATAAGCGAGCTAAAACGTTTCAAATAAAAACGTTTACAATAGTTAAAACTTTTATAATAAAATAATAACTTCAATGGTGACTCCTTTTGGGTTTGGATTGTTTTGGTTTTCTTTAATAGTACATACATTTTAATATTACAAAATTAAATGTATTATATACAGTACTTACAGTATATATTTTATTATGATAACATAATGTAATAAAGGGATGTCTAAGAAATAAAACTTGGAAGGATTGAGTGAAATCTGTCCAGTTTTTTTTTATGTATAACAGCAGACATTCAATTTAAATAGAAGAAGATGGATGTATTCAATTAGAACTTATAACAATGTTATTGTTCATGGGTTTTTGAAATGTTGACAAACGATGAAATGGTTGTGATTCAGATTATACACTATTAGTTAAATCAATCTTTATACTCTCGATGAATTGCAAATGTTATTACATAATGGTTAATACTAAATTTCATAATTAACACTAAAATTACACAATAGTTTTTTTGTATAAAATAGTGAATTACACATAAATGGTGATTGTGTTTAATTAAATATAGAATACTCCAATAAGCTCCATTCAAAACCAATCCAGGTCACCCGCGAGTCACTTTGACCGCTTTTTTTTTTAGTTTACCCTGACATTAAAACGGGCTGATTGTATTATTGGCAATACTATATAAGCTGCGTGAAATAAGTAACAGGCATCATTTAGCAATCTTTGCCCAATAGAGTTGGAAAAACAGGTGAAGATGAGAAGTATCGCCTTCGTTTGTCTAGTGGCTACAGTGGCCCTTGTTTACTCAAGAGAAGTGCGGTACAAGAGGAACGCTGATCTAGAAGCCGCTGCGTCTCATCACTGGGAAAAGGGAGAAGGTGGCGGCCATCATGGTGAACACTTCGGCGAATATGGCGGTCACGACGAGAAAGGTTACAAGGGCCACCATGAGCACGAACACGGGAAAAAGGGACATTCCGATCACGAAGGCCACAAAGGCCACTACGACGAGCATGGTGGACACAAAAAACAACATCACCACGACGATGGGTACTACGACGAGCATAACCACGGAGAGAAAGGAGAGAAGGGATACGGTTTCGAAGAGAAGGGACACTTCCACAAGGGACACTCGACTAAAGGTCACCACGGAATTCACAAGATAGACGAATTTAAAAAGGACAAACACTTCCACGATAAGCACGGCGAATCTGGATTCGAAGAGGGATACGGTGGCCACCATTATGAAGGTGGATACAAAGAAGGAGGACATTTCCACAAAGGCCATGAAGATGGTGGCTTCCATGAGCACGAACAGGGCGAAAAGGGACATCATGAGAAGGGGGGTCACCACCACGACCATAAGGGCCACCACGACGAAGGCGGAAACGAAGAACATTGGGCGCATAACGAAGGCCACGGCAGTAAAGGTGGCCATGAGGACCACAAGGGATGGGGCTGGAAAGGACACTAATCAGAAAATTCAATACGAAACGAACACGAATGAATAATAAGGCATTTTGTTATTGTTGATTATTTTGTGATACAGGTTTAATTAAAGTATTTATTAGCTTTGAAATTACCTTTACGTTTAAATTTATTATAGTTACTTATAACATACACCTTACGCGGCTCTTGTTGTATATAGAATAGGTTTACTGTTATAAACAACAATAGTTTTTTGATTAATATAACCGTACTCAGCAGAAAAGCAGAAGAACCAGGAAGAACCAACCAAAAGAAGAAGAACCAAATAGTTTTATGAATTTGAACAGCAAATAATTCTTAGCAATGTTCACTACATTGCAATCAGGGATAATTAATAGTCAATAACGTTCATAGTAAAATACAAGACTCAAAGATTATTATCTTCACAGACAGATGGATCAGAGGGGATGGGACTGTTGAATTAAATTAAAAAACAAAAAGAATTGTTTACAATAGCACTACTTTGAGGGAGAGTTGTTCTTACGGGTATACATAACGTCCCTACGATTAAACGAGTGGGCTTTCAAAACATTGGCAGCGCTGTCAAATTTGCCGTATTTTTTTTTTCCAAAATTTATATAATGTTTGGGGGAAAAATATTTTAAATCAGCGTCAAAATCATGAACGCAAGTTTGGCGAATTTGTATGTTCTACTGACCTATCTGTAAAGCGGAACAGAATTGCGGGAAAGTACTCTGAACGGAAATTCATTTTTACAATAATCCTTACTAATATTATAAAGGCGAAAGTTTGTATGGATGGATGTTTGTTACTCTTTCACGCAAATACTACTGAATGGATTTTAATGAAACTTTACAATAATATAGCTTATACATCAGAATAAGACATAGGCTATAATTTATATACATATTTTATGTATATGCCAACGACGTATACGTTAACCTTAAACTTTTTTTCTCGTCTAAAACGTATTGCTGTACTGTAACACAGTAGAGTAACATATAACGAATTTAGCACAGAATAAAACAGTACAAGTACGAAAAAGCAATGGTATTCGTTTGTCCTCTCTTCAAAATGGAACAATGCATTTCGTCGCCTTATTTTTACTTTTCATTTCATATTCAAAACCTATATATCCTAGACGTAATCATTGTTTTTATTAAGCCAAATATTACATTACTATGGAGTACGTAAACAAAAAACAACAATCAATTTATTCCTGTCATAATAAAAAAAAAACAAAATTAATTTATTTCCTTAAGTTACAATGAAGTAGTTATAAGGTCGGACGTAAGACGGTTTGATTATAAATGATTACATGGTTACAAAATGTTAAAGACCTAACATTCTATTAAGATCACTCCAACTAGTCGAAATATCTGAATACTACTGCGAGTAGTCCGGAATCTTTTCTGAAATTCTTCTATAATTACAATGTATATTAGTGCCAAATCGTGTTTATGGCCAGACACTAAAATATTTCGCTTAATATAATTAGTTGACGAACCTATTGGGAGTAGTGCCTTTGGCGCTGTAGGGTATGGGTTCGATTCCTGCTACTGGAAAAATATTGTGTGATGAAAATCGTGTTTTTTTAGTGCCAAGGTGTTTATGTATGTATAATATGTATTTATTTACAAAAGAAAAGTATGTTTTAGTATGCTTATCAGTTTTATAGTACCCCTAATACAAGGATAGCTTAGTGTGGGACTAGAGAACGTTGTGTAAAAAAATGTGTCCGAAAATAATTTTCTTTTACTTTTTTTTATCTCTTTCTACTAAGTATTAAGTCAATAAATCTGTTAGGCCTCACTGTAAGGCAAAGCCCTCCTAGGGCCTCTAGCTCCTCCTAAGTTTCACCAAGCTAACCCCTCAGACATTTTCTAATTTTTTCATTATTTTATATCAATGTTTTTAGATAGACAGGTTACCGATTACCAGGTCACAATGTTTTCCTTCCTTCGTCGCCAAGCACGTATATCAGCATTTTAAGCTAAGTACCGATACAGAATCAAATACAGCCGATCTAGCTCAGTGTCCGGGGACTTCTAATAATATAATATACTCGAGCATCTCGATTCAAATCCCAATGCCGTCACCAATGAAATTTTAAATTTAAATTATAAGTCACATGCTAAGCGGTGAAAGAAAACATCACATATATAGGATGTTACTTTATTAAATTTTTTCACAGAATCAAAAGCAAATACACGACTTTATTTCATTTGTCATCTATTATAATTTTATTTTCAGAAAATATCAATCAACGGAGAACGCGATATACGAGTATATACCTAGTTACCATAAAAGTAAGTCATAAAACATTCTCATTTTAACCTTTTTTATTAATTTTTCTGTTTATTTGATGTGACCACAATTATTGAATGTGCGGTCAGAAATATTAAATGCCCCGATTCGTAGCCGCCTTTCAGCCATTACCCCAGAATGATATATGTCTCAAGTTGCGTATAATCGCGACACTGTGATTGCGTTGCTTGTTCTCATAAATACTGCCCTAACCTAAAGTATAAGTAACTTAAGAACAACTTAAGTTGGACGGATAATAATAAATATAAAAAAAGTAAACATTGTACTATGCATGTATGTATATTTATGTATACATTAATAATAATTAATATTCGATTCGAAATAAAATACAATTTGATACTGGTTTGCCTGGAAGAGAAAATCTCTTCAATTGCCCGTTCGACCTTGACACTTCGGAACAACGTAAACTTTCCTAATAATAGCAGCAACCACTATAAAACATCACAGTTCTCTAGCCAAGAATCATTCAGCAACCGAGCATCGTTGTCTAAGCAACCATGAGAGTCAGCCTTCTAGTGGCTTTCGGGCTTTTAGCCCTTGCAGCAGTAGTCTCCGGCCGAGAGATCCGTGAGAAGAGGGATGCCGACTTAGAAACCGCAGCTTCGGGACACCACTGGGACAAAGGTGGTGGCCACGAACACCATGGACATCATCACCATGAGCATGGCGAGCATGGTCACAAGGGGCACAAGGGCCACCACGGACACCATCACGGAAAACACGGGCATCACCACCACGAAGGCCACAAGGGTCATCACGGCGAGCACGGAGGCCACAAAAAGCACCACCACCACGACGAAGGCTACCATCATCATCACGATCACGGAGAGAAGGGCGAACACGGTCATGGTCATGAGGAACACGGCCACTGGCACAAAGGTCACGATACGAAGGGGCATCACGGTGTTGAGAAACATGACGAGTTCAAAAAGGATAAACACTTCCACGACCATCATGGTGAGAAAGGCTTCCATGAGCATCACGGTGGACATCATCATGAGGACGGATACAAGAAGGGTGGTCACTTCCACAAAGGACACAAGCATGGAGGTCATCACGAGCACGAACATGGCAAAAAGGGACATCACGAGAAAGGTGGACATCACCATCACCACAAGGGTCATCATGGAGAAGGTGGGCACCATGACCATTGGCATCATCATCATGACCATGGCAAGAAAGGAGGTCACGAAGACCACAAGCACTGGGGACACAAATCCGGTCACTAAAATATGGATGATTGTACCTTATTTTTTGTTATTTGTTGATTTTTTGTTCTACAGATATATTTGTTACTTTTTTATTGTCAATAAAAACTATGAGTGATTATATTTTTTTCAATATTATGAAGTATACACATTAACATGAACTGGTAGCGGTTAATGTACTACACATATTATTATAATCTACAAACATATATACACAACAACCATAAGTGTTTAATGTATGTGTTTATGGCAAAACAACGGTCAGTGATGATGGAGTTTTTTGTAGCATTTTCCAGTGAGGAAAATTTTGAAATACATAATATATTTTGCGTTTTTAATGTTTAAGGCTTAAGGTGTACCTTTGAGAATAAGGCAACTTAACATTTAGTTTAAAATAGGAGTGTAAATATACAAATGGTTTGATAATGTTTATACTAGATAACCACTATTACTTAAATGTTAGGCAAAGGTAATGGTTTTCTACGTTTCAACGTAACAATATCATTTAAATGTTTTATATTTCTATTATTAAAAAATACCATTAGGTTCTTTTTGCAGGTTGAATATAATTTAATATTTTCTTTCCACCTTTATGGCCACCTAATTACTATAAACAGTATTTTATTTAAAAATCATTAGCTAATAACGTAAATGATTAAATTAACTATAAAACTATTAATTAACCAATCATTCCAATATACCGTAAATCCAACATTCACGCCTTCAGTGTTTTTCAGTAAAAGTATTTGACTGAAGATTTTTATTTGTTTTGATTCACTGGGTGTTCTTTTTTTATACAACAGTCTTGCACGCCCTTCTATCCATAGTACAAAAAAATTCTAGTATTTATTTCTCACGAACTAAACAGGAACGAGCCACTGGGTTTCGCACAGGATTAAAAAGTCCTTAACATGCTTTTTTAATGTAAGTGAGTGATACCTTCGCCCAAAGTCATCGGGAAATAGGTAGTACCTTAAAAAGTACATTAGATTATATGACGTATAAATAAATTAATTTTTGTTATTTTCTGAATAAATCGAAACGTAAATACTGATAAGGTTTATGATAAATATATTTATATGTGTAACGCAAACTTTAAGTTTATCCTAGAGTTGTCAGAATGTACTTCCTATAAACTATAAACTTCATTTATAGTTTTCGTGTGACATTTGACTCTGAGAAAAACTTGGTGCCTATTGATTAGGTTTTTACCGCAAATAAAATGCCTTTATGAAATAAAAATAAATAGTCCATGAACTAAAAAATGAAATGCTACGCGAATAAAATTGATAAGAAATATTATAGATTAGTATAGTATATTATTAAGGAACCATCATAAAGACAGTAATTTGATTTGTAAGAACTAAGAAACAAAATAAATACGCAACGCTACGGTTTAAAAAGTAATCAACATTGAACAGTTCTTTACCAAGATACTCGTCTCTTGCGACTAGACATTGCAGATAATATTTAAAAACTTATTTATTTTTCATCACAAGCACGCTTAGTTCCTATGTGGGAACAAAAGTTTTCAACTACATTGTAACAAAAACAAAAAAAAGTGTCGCTCGTTTTATATTCCAACATGTTAGTCTTCTTTCTTTGATATATTTTAGGCAACTTTATAAAGATATATGCAAGAATTAAGATTAGTCGAACTTCAATTTGTCTACGTTAAATGATCTTACAATAGATTAAATAAACAAGATAGCTTAAAATGTACTTATATAATTATATAAGCCCAAATATACAAATGATTTAAAAATATTGCTAATGAAGATATAATTATTATTTCGTCAACTCGATGAAATTTTTGTATTTGTTCCAATTTCCTATCAACACACTGAACTTTCATATTATGTTTATGTTATCAGAGAACAAAAAGAATGTGAATACGCCTAATAACCTTATAACGGAATGATAAGTCTGGAGTATGAGAAAGCTTTTATGTTTGCATTGATACTCAAAGCTATTAAGTTGTCGAGCTTTTAAACTAATAACCGCTCACGCTAAAAGGCGAACATCACTGAACATTACAATGAAGGATAATTTATTATATTTAAAATAAATAACATAATATGAATTATTTTATTAGCATTACAAAAAACATAAGCCATGTAATTTTAGAAATATTTTACTGTAAATTTAATTTCATGAAAGTAATATACAGCGTGTCGTTACCATCGTGACAATAAATGAACACACATATAGGGGATAACTTTTTAAAGTTGTATTAAACATTTAAATTCTTTAAACACCAATATTTACAGAGTTATTAAATTTTCCAAAACAAAGAATTTTTTTAGAACATCCTTACCTATAAAAGCGTAACGTAAAGTTCATTTGTAAAGGTCACAAAGCATATGAATGGGTTGAATGAATTTAAAAGAGACAAAAAATACTGTTAGAAGGAGAGGCTTGTAATACGACGCTGTGGCGCGAGTTGTATAGGTGTTACAAATTTTGTTTCTTTTTTACTTAATTAGATTGTTTGAAAAAATTTTTCTTTTAATTATGGATTTAGTTTAACGTTAATATTTTTTATGATTATTGGCAAGAAGCGTTAGACGTGTGTTCATTTATTGTCGCGATGGTAACGACACGCTGTATAATTCTATTATTAATAAATGAATATATAATAATAAATGGAAAGTATGTATAACAAGAAGGTGAAAAAATTGTATGTTTTTAAAAACATGACTATCAATTTTTTTTATTTGCGTGTAAAAACTCTTAACAATAAGAGTTTTTTCTGTCTAATTCCATTTTAATGTATTTAAAATTATAAAAAGTATATTTTATTTATCTATATCTACAACAAATTAAAATTGAAGTGTATTGAATGCGTGTGAATGTTTACGCGGTACTTTACCAATAACCAAAAAAAACAATAAAACACCAATTTTAAACACTTTTTTCCATACGTCTGTCTTAAACTCCTAATCTAATCTAATCTCCTAAACGAACGGACCAATAATTGTAATGAGGACTTTTGTTTCTGTAAAAGAAAACTTTTCACCTGGTGTTAAGTTATTACCGTCGCTTATGCACATCCAAAGACCTGACAGAGTTACAGGTCTGTTTCCAACAACTTACCTAACCTATCAGACGAAACTCAACAGAATAACTCATCCACGTCACGCTGGTCTTCTGTGAGGCCTAACGCTGACAAGCCCGCTCATTTATGCAACAGTAGAAACTGCTGCATAGCCTTACCACAGTGGATGACATTGGCACATATTATGGGGAGTAACTTAAACTACTTTTATATAAGTAAAAATATTAAATCTATACAAATTGATAAAATTGAAGTGTCATTTTGTAGCGTGAAAATAATAACTTGTCACTTCATGCAATTCAATTTTTACACGTAAAAACCACTTTACTTGCCTGTTGTCAGTCTGTCTGTTCTGAATAATCCCCTAAATTACTGGACCGATTTTAATGAGACTTTCATGTAGCTCTTCTTATATACTTGTTAGACTAGCGACCCCTCCTCGGCTTCAGAAGGGTGCAATGTATCATACATACGAACCTTCCTCTTGAATCACTCTATCTAGTAAAAAAAACCGCATCAAGATCCATTGCGTAGTTTTAAAGATCTAAGCATACATAGGGACAGACAGACAGCGGTACAACTTTGTTTTATACTATGAAGTGATGCAAGGCAAAGAGACGTTTACATTTCAAGTGACATTTTACCACAGTCACTCACTTGTTTTGCCTTCCCGGAACCCCTCCACTAACACTTAAACTTTATGGTATGATATTAAAGTTCAAATTGATTTTTTATTACGAATCTTTTGTACGTGGAATATAGAAAAGTGTTGTTTTTAGACTTTTCAGGCAATTTTTTAATTTTTTTCTTTCATAAGAACCTTCTCCTGATAATAACAAACGCAACAAAAAAAAGCGAAATCGGTCCAGCCGATGTGATGACGTGACTAAGGGAAATATGGATTCATTTATATATATATATATATATATATGTATATATAGATAAGGAATAAAGGTTCCACACAAAAAAAAACTCGTGTGGTTGTGAATAAAATCCAATTCCATAGTCATGTTTCAATTTTTAAACTTTTAGCATCAAAACAATTTTGAATCCGCACCAAAAAGGATTTACACCAATTTTTCTCCTTAATACATACAAGTAATACATGTTATATACTTATTTTATCTGATATGTTATAAAACTAACTCTGAGATTCAGAGAATAAATAATATAGAGAGTTAAGTATGCTCAATTTAAATTATGTATACGCTATTAAAATATGTATACACATATTAACTCGTAAATAAACTGTTTCGTTTTGAGCTGAACAATCTGTTTTAGATAATAGACACACATAGATTATATATAAAACAAGCTCACGTTTCAAGATTTTCCTGAGCTAATGTTATGAGAAGTGGTGTGACCGCAACTGTAGCTTAAGCTAGTAATATGACAATTAAATGTTTAATATATTGATAAAAAAGAGTAATCGAATTTTCGTTACTTCGTTTAAAGAAATGTATTAAACAACGCTAACTTGACCTTGCCAATACGGAATAGGCGAACTCTCCTGCAACAATTGCCCAACAATGCAGCCGAGAAAAATCGTATCTATAAAACCACGGCAGCAACATTGAGTAGAATAAATAAACTCGTTCAGTCCTACAGTGAAGTAAACATGAAGGTGGCTTTTGTGCTGGGTTGCCTCGTGGCGCTCGTTGTGCTAACGAGTGCCAGGGACTTAAGGAAAAAACGCGATGCCGACCTAGACACCGCCGCTTCACACAAGCATGAGAAGGGCGGTGGCAAGGAACACCACGCACATCACCATCATGAGCACGGCGGTAAGGGCCACAAGGGATATAAGGGGCATCATCACCACGAGCACGGCAAAAAGGGTCACCACCATCACGAAGATCACAAGGGACATCACGATGATCACGGCGGCCACAAGAAACATCATCATCACGACGAAGGCCATCATGATGAACACCATCATGGCGAAAAAGGGGAGAAGGGACATGGTTTTGAAGAAAAGGGACATTACCATAAAGGTCACTCTACCAAGGGTCACCACGGCGTCCACAAAGTTGACGAATTCAAGAAGGACAAACACTTCCACCACAAGCACGGCGAATCCGGTTACGAAGAGGGACATGGTGGACATCATCATGAGCATGGTCACAAGAAGGGCGGTCATTTCCACAAAGGCCACAAGCACGATGGTCATCATGAACACCACCACGGAGAGAAGGGTCATCATGAAAAGGGTGGTCATCATCACGATCACAAGGGACACCACGACGAAGGCGGACATCATGAACACCATCACCACCACCATGAACACGGAAAGAAAGGGGGTCATGAAGATCACAAACACTGGGGATTCAAGAAAGGTCACTAAATCATTGTTTTTATTGATTAATATGTTGTTATTTTGTACCTTTTATTATACTAATGGACTTGTAAATATTTACTTAATAAAGAAATTAATATACTGATATACAGATAGGCACTGGTCTTCTTAGTTCGAATCATTCATCAATTAAAAATGTAATACTAATATGCATTACATATTAGCAATGATTCAATATTCGGATTGTATTACGATTAAGCACAGGCGTTTCAAGTAATTACATATTTCTCTACTCAAAATCTCAAATTGTCTGTATGCAATGCAAAGAGATAAGAGAATGCATGCGATAATGTCAATGTAAATAAAAATAAAGACTTTGTTATGTAATTTTTTTTAAATATGTTGTATGATACTTTATCAACACTTAACGTTTTTTCTTAATGAAATGTATATCAATAACACTGTATTTTCTACCTGTCATTATGGGAAGAACTGTATTTTCATAAATTTATTATTCGGCATATAAATAATTTCATTGGTGTTGGCATTGAAATTTAAACTCAAGTTGCTCGAGTATATTGAATTAAAAGCCAGCGCCCAGACTGAGCTGTCACAGCTCTAAGCTGAAATCCAGCTGCTGGTGCTGGCACATTTAAATTGTTCATTGTAAGAGCTGACTCTTCACGTGCTCAGTGTTGAATAAAAATATAGTGAGGCACCTACACATTTTCGAAATAATAACAAACTTTTTTTTTATATTTATGCGAAGAATGCGTATGCTCTAATACCCTTTATACAGAGGGGGCCTTTGCACAGCAGTGGGACATGTGTTATGTATATTATAGACTGTTACTTTACTTTTTCTTTTATATACTCTACTTTATTGAAAAGGTATTGTCTTCGGCGTCGGGGGTCATGGGTTCGATTCCCACAAGGGACAACTAACTATTTGTGCCACCCACAGATAATTGTTTCGCATCTGGGTGTTTGTCCACGTGAAATTTATGTTTGTTAAACTTCCTTACTAAAGTAAGGGCAATGTTTAAAAAAAAAAAAATATATATATATATATATATATATATACGACGGCTTATTGTATGGCGTTAAATTCTTCATTTTCGTCACTAACTTCGCGTTCATTCGATTCGCTCCGTCGTACTGCTTTTGTCCCACACATCTGACAACAATTTACGTTAAGTCATATTGCAAAATATGACTATCACTTTTAATTACACAATTACTAATTGTCACTTTTCTTTCGTAACAATAAATGAGAAAATCCTTCCATAAGCAAGGATTCAGGATAATTTTTCTTTGCTAGGACCATGCAGCAATATACTACTGCAAATACGAAAGTAGTGTGTATTCGAGGTCTACTCTTTTAAAGTTTGTAAAAGAATATGAAAAGCCAACCACCGTATGTGCGTGCGATTAATAATTATAATAATATATTTTTCGCTTGGGCAATGTGGTTGCTTTATTTCACTCTGATTATTTATACATAAATAGTAATCCATTAAAATCCATCGATAGGTGGATAGGTCTGTGGTATGTGGACTCCTAACGGCTCATAAGGCAACGTACGATTACTTTACTTTGCTCAATTAAAATTTAAGATAGTTGTTCGCAAGTGTGCAAGAACAAGTTCCCTTCTACGAGAATATTTTTAACATACAATATTTCAAAAGTTAGTTTAATCGATAAACGTTCGCTTAGGTCCTCTTGTTAGTTTGAAACTAACTAAAAACTATTTTTCTTCGTTAATCTTTGTCATCCTGTACGTGTTCTAACTACCGGAGCATTCAACTTTTCTTAGAACTTACACTTCCACAACTGCATCTGATGTTTTTTGTATTGTTTATTAATTGTTATAATGTTTGAAATTAACATAGGAATAAAGCGTCTCAAAAACTTATTTTAATTTACCATAAAACAAAAAAACAAAAATCTGTTTTGGCCAATTTGGTCATAAGTTGTTGATCAATCGAGTTATTCACATCGACCAGAAGTTATAGTTTTCCTCTTCAAGCATTTGCGTCATTTTTTTATGTGAAAAGTTGCCAAACGAATTTGCTCGGTTCACTTGATAGTAAGTGAATACCGACGATTATTTTCCTTCACCCTTCTCTTCGTGCTTCACCTTCATTCTACTATAGCTATAGTTAGTTGTTATTTCTTAACTTATTTATAGCAAAGTGTCAATAATCTTTGTGAAATGAATCAAAGTTTTAAATTGAATTTACATTGCTGTAACATCATGAGTAATGCCTTGCTTTAATCAAATGCTTTGTCGTGTTTACTATTTGGCAATAATCACTACACCTTTTTCTATCAATAGTTTAAATTTATAATGATAAATATATGTATTTGACAACCTAATTGGCGTAGTGGGTAGTGCACCTGCCTCTTCCGTCAGAGGGTGTTGGTTCGCTCCCCACTATTGAAAAAATATTGTGTGATAAACATGGGGTTTTGCCAGTATTTGGGTGTTTAAATATTTATAGCGTGTATGTATTTACAAAAGAAAAGTATATTTAATTATATTTATCAATTATCTAGTACTCAAATTAGCTTAGCAAGCGTTGCTTTGTTTGGAACTAGTTAGACTTAGTTGTGTAAAAAATGTGTTAAGGTTTCCAAAAATTAAGTAAATAAGAAAAAAAATACGCTTTTATATTTACTTTTAAATAACGTTTAAATTTATTAAATACATAACTAAATCAAATAATAAATTAAAAAAGTAGTACACAAAAAAAGAGTAAATAGTAAAATGTTATTCACAAATCGCCTCCTTATTTAAAAAGTGACATACGTAGCACATACATTAAAATTAAATATGTAAATATTATTTGGTCCGCTAATATTTTCAAGTGACAAACACAAACCCGTACATTGATTAAAAATAAATACTCGTGTACAAATATTTTTCGCCAGAAGAAGAAATGGAACAAACGATAAAAAGATGTGGAACCAACATAAAGAAAAAAATTAAATTCATTAGTGGCCTTTTGAGTAACCCCATTTCTTGTGATGTTCATGACCACCTTTCTTAGCATGATCGTGATGATGGTGATGATGCTCGTCGTGGCCAGCAGCTTCCTTATGTCCTTTATGCTGAGCGTGATGCCCTCCCTTCTCGTGATGACCTTTTTCTCCATGTTCATGTTCATGGTGCCCTCCATGATGGTGACCTTTCTTAAAGTGACCTCCTTTCTTATGTCCATGCTCGTCGTGATATCCACCGTGTTTCTCCTCGTGACCAGAATCTCCCTCTTCATCGAAGAAATGTTTGTCTTTTTTGAACTCGTCTAATTTGTGCACTTCATGGTGACCCTTTGTCGAGTGGCCTTTGTTATAATGCCCTTTTTCTTCATATTTGTGACCCTTCTCGCCTTTCTCACCTTTGTGATGTTCGTCATAGTGCCCATCCTCGTGATGATGTTTTTTCTCATGACCACCATGATCATCATATTCGCCTTTATGGTGTTCCTTGTCATGATGCCCTTTCTTTCCCTCTTCGTGATGATGATGACCTTTGTAGCCTTTATGGCCCTTCTCGCCGTGATCATTATGATGATGTGCGTGATGTTCTTTTCCCCCACCTTTTTTAAACTCATGGTTCTGAGGTGCTTCTTTTTTATGTCCAGTAGCAGCAATATCTTGGTCAGCTACTTCGGACTCTACCTTCTGACGCTCATTTTTCTGTTCGGGTAAGCGACGCGCATGGACTACAACAATAATTACTAAAAGCCCTAAGACTAAGACTACCCTCATGTTAAACTTCGTCAATATTGTTTGGAGATTTAGTGCAAATTGGCGCTACCGATGATGGCGGAGCAATTTTATATAAAATGTTTCGTAAACTGTGTTAATCCACGCGTCGCGGAACAATCTAGAAGAAGTGTATTGCGACAAGCGTACACTTTTAACAGTTTCCTCTACTTCATTCAAATTAAAAGAAATAAGTAACATGACAAAATAACTAACCTAAAGCATATTAACACTTTAATCGAAATAAATTTATAATATGTAATATTGAAATTTATCGAATAAATACTATAATATAAATAGTAATATTATAATTAAGAACTCTATCGTATTTTAATAGTATATTTATCTTGTAGCACAAGTTATAAATGGGTAAATCATTTAGAGAGGGTCATTACTTAACTATTACGTTCACGTTCACGTCTAATCCATGTCGAATATGTAAAACATATGTGTATTAATATTAAAACTCTCTGTAATACAAACTGTCAGAATCCGTAAACTGCCGTAACCCTTAAACCTGCTTATCTCTATGATGCTCAATATGAAGTAACGTGTATTAAATAAGTTAACTGTTTTTGCGAAATTCAATTAAAATATAGTTAGTGTATATGTTGATTAAAAAAACCCACCTATATTAAACATTTATATGAACATACATGTTGAAACTTATTTGGTTGACCTTAAACAACTGATCAAAACAATAATAATATTTCATTACGTTGTTTGTTATGAGCTAGTTTCTGTTAGGAAATTTAATTTTCTGGTATTATATGCAATAAAAATATTTTTAATGATCTATTATATGTATGAAATGCCAAATTTACTGACTGATTTCTCCCAAAGCACTGCCTAAACCACTGGAAATCAGAAACTATATTAATAGTTTTACCATGATGGTCCACTGTGTAATGATTTTGGAAAGATCAAACTTCATGGGACTTAAAAATATTAAGTAATGTTTGTAAAAATTAAAGTGCTATATTTGTACTACAGTTACCTTTTAGTTAATCAAAGATTTGTATTTGGTCCCTTGAAAATCAAGTCATTTGCCTCCAAAAGGAACTAAATGAAGTTTTTATATATATATATTTTTTTTCAATTTCAAAATCGGTCGACTTGCTGGCGATACTATATATAATATTTATATATTAAAGGCATTTCGTCACAAACCAATCGTAGTTACCTACGCTTAAACTATTCCGCTCTAGTACTAGATCAATACTAATTCCACAGTAGCAGCCTCCCGTATAATTTCTAACGCATTAGTCCAATTTGGCAAATGGCCAACATTCCTCAATTTGAAATGGTGAAATGTAAAGCTACTGTGATAAGTGACCATCATGATCTATAAAGCTAACGAAAAGATATGTGATTCTATACAAAGCAATAAACAGAAGATATATCTCTCGAATTCCTTTAAACAAGTCAATTAAGTACACTTGCGTGTGAACCCAAATATTAATTACGTTATATATACATAAACGTGCTTAATTTATTCACAAAAGATTTGTACTTGCAAGCCGTAGACATTTTATTTACATTTTTTTTAAATAGTTTATATTTACAATTGTGTTAATGCTACGTTTCCTCCTAAATATAGGTATTTAGACAGTGTTTTCCTAAGTCATTCTGCTAAGTTTTTAATAAATTTATATTAAATCATAAATTTTTGATTGTTGTTATATTATTATTTATTATTGTTATTTTGATATAGTATAATTTTGTTATAAAAATGATTAAGTAATACGATCCCACTTGAAATACAATAGTTAAAAAGTTAATTCAAGTTTGTTTTTAAATTGTAATTTTTTATCAACTCATGGATCGTGTGTTATTCCCACAATTTATTATCAGAATTTAGGTAACTTTTACAAACAACGACTTTTTATAGTCATGATAGAAATTCCTATAGAAAAACTCAGCTGTAAAAGTTTACAAACAACACTGGTATAGAAATACCCATTGAGAAATGTTGTCAATTTCAGTTCGACTGCAAGTGTTTTCTATAGGAAACGCTTGATTGCAACCACGACTAATTCTTTGCCCACGATAAAGTGGGCCAATCTCGGACACCGGTCTACTTTCTCGACAGTTTTATTTACTTATCTCGTCGGGAAGCGTTGCCAACAGACCACGGCCAACAATTTTATGTAACTTTGTTGTCGAAACCGAACGTGCTGCGAAATTGTTAATTTTATTTATCCCGCTGCGGACTACATCCGTTTCGTGCGGTTCTATTGAAAATGGTAGCTTGTTGTAATAAATGCGTGCATATAGTAACAATTTTTTTTTAATAAAAACAATACATCACAGTCAACAAAACAAGAGAAAAAAACTTAAATCGGTAAGCTTATAACAAAACGGACCTATGCAGTGACTTAATACAATAAGGATTTACAGGAGCAAAGGACTTATTTGTGTCCTTTCTTGAAACCCCAGTGCTTGTGATCTTCGTGACCGCCCTTCTTTCCATGATCATGATGATGATGATGATGCTCGTGATGACCGCCTTCATCGTGATGGCCTTTATGGTCATGATGATGGCCTCCCTTTTCGTGATGGCCCTTTTTACCATGCTCATGATGATGATGACCACCATGTTTGTGGCCCTTATGGAATTCACCTCCCTTCTTATGACCATGCTCCTCATGGTGTCCTCCGTGATGCTCATGATGGCCGCCATCATGGTGATGGTCATGGAAGTGCTTTTCTTTCTTGAACTCGTCGTGCTTGTGGACTCCGTGATGTCCCTTAGTCGAGTGTCCTTTGTGGTAGTGGCCTTCTTCGTGATGCCCATGTCCTTTGTGCCCTTTCTCACCATGGTGATGCTCATGGTGATGCCCGTCGTCATGGTGGTGGTGCTTTTTGTGTCCGCCATGTTCGTCGTGGTGCCCCTTATGGCCTTCATGATGATGATGGCCCTTTTTGCCGTGCTCATGGTGGTGATGGCCCTTGTAGCCCTTGTGCCCCTTCTCACCGTGGTCATGATGATGGTCTGCGTGGTGCTCATGGCCTCCACCTTTATCCCATTTCCCGCCGTGATGGCTAGCAGCAACCTCCAAATCCGTGTCCCGTTTTTCCCGCGGAACTTCACGGCAGCTGACGCAAGCCAGCGCCGCTAAAGCGACGCTACATAAAATAAATACCCTCATCTTTCAACGATGCCGAGGAAATCGAACAGTCGACTGATAGCTACCTTAGCGGCACTGAAGTTTTTATACTGATAAGTTTATTGGTACCGCATTGAAAATTGTGCAAAGAATCAAGGTTGCAATAAGATATACCGAGCTGTTTTAGAGAACTTCATTGCGCAGTGGTGGGTTGCAATGGCTCAACGTGAGAAAATTAATAAAAAATCTTGCCTATTACGAGGGGTATAGTCAAAATCTCTGTATACTTTGATGTGGTATCGACGTATTACGAAATTTTGCTACAAATTAGCAGGATTTATTACAAAAGGTTCAACTTTGAGATATTTATCCATATTTAATTTACTTTTAAAAACTGCAAATGGACTAGCACTAAATTATCTCGATAAACATAGTAGTATTTCTATGGGTCTAGCCACATGTGAGATTTTTTATAAATACTGTGCTACATCCAAAGGATAAGGTACATTGAAGAAAATGTGTAAAAGATACCATCTATATAGATACATAGTGAAATAAATACAATTTGATGACTCCGTGGCGCAGTTGCCAAAGTATTGGCTTGGGCGTCGGGGGTCGTGGGTTCGATTCCCACACGGGACAACAATTTGTGTGACCCACAGATAGTTGTTTCGCATCTGGGTGTTTGTCCGCGTGAAATTTATGTTTGTAAAACGTCCTTTACAACACAGGATAATATTATCCTAAAGTAAGGGCAGTGTTTTTAAAAAGAAAGAAATAAAAAAAAAATGTAAATATATTAGGATATCAAAATAAACTAAATAATACAAAAATCATTTATTCAGTCATCCTTATCACCATAACCGATATACAGACGTCAGAAAACAACAAAATGAAGATTTTAAGTTCGCACTGTTGTTTACATGTTTTTTAATGTTTGTGTGCTGTTATAGATGTTATTATGTTATTATGTGTGTTACGCATCATGTATGTTTCTTCAGGGCTAGGAAATTACGCAAGTATTGAATAGAATTTGATCGATAAACCGTGCACAAATGGAGAAATTTTAAGAGACTACTTTTTACTCAATTATCGTGGCATGCTGTGCTTGATCAATTTCGAATCGCTTACGATGTGTTATTATTGTTATTTAATCGTCTGCGTACGTTCTTTCGCAAGTCGGGTAAGTTATTACGATGTCTTGTTTTCGTAAATGTATTGTTTTAATAAATTTTTTCATCATCATTTCAGCCTGTTTGAATCCCCTGCTGAACACTAGGCCTCCCCCACAGACTATCACATAGCACGATACTGAGCCAACTTCATCTATCGACTTCTGCACACTTGTAAAGATCGTCACTCCATCTAGTGGGCGGTCGTCCTAAACTACGTTGGCCAGTATGAGAATTATACCGAGCGGAGCCCGCTCCATAGCTCGCTGAGTGACTTTGAGCTTCCTCATACGGCCAGTAGTGAAGGACCACTTCTCAGTTCCGTAGGTCATAAATAAATTGTTTATTTTTCGATAAATCATAATTTAATTATCGTACGTTAATTGTTTTCATAAATAAACTTTCTTAAGTGATGGCTTCATCGTGTCGTCGTCGTACACCAGCTACGTTTTTTCTTATGAGTCCGTGGGGCGTACAATCGTCGATCTTCCGGCAAGGCTTTCATAGCCTCCGCTAATAGCAAACTACACTCACAAAAAAGCGAAGTTAAAAAGATAATATTTTATATGTTCACGTCAGCACCCGAAATATGACACTGTATCCGGTTCATCATGGCTTAAACATTCATTTGACGCTACGGCGGCGCTTCGTAGTAACCGGACAAATAAGGGATTTTTGTTATATGAACAAATATTTAACTAATTAACCATGATTTTTTGCATAGGTACTATTTCAGGGTCAAAGCTCAATCTGTTCTAAGTCTCGTAGAACAACTGTTTTAAAAGCATACAACCAATGTTTCAAAAAATCATAAAAAAACAGCCTCAATATTATGGGACTAACTGTACTGTGGACCCAAAGTGTCAGTTGTTGCAATCTTGTAGGTAGGCATACTCCAGTTGATGTAGACGTTTTGGGACGTCTGATAAAAAAAAATGTGGCAAGTAGTTTTGGCAGTCTCCTATTGATGTTAACCTAACACTACCCAAAGAATTTTAAAGAGTCCGAAACAGGTGGAAATATTAGGGTACAAGGTCATGGCTATATCTATCGGATATATATCGGATGCGGAACCCTAAATTAAAACCACGCGGCATAATACTGTGAAAATAAGTATGAAAGTAACTAATTTAGCTGTTATCTTGTTAGTTAGCTGTCTGATCGCCAAATTGCTGCACCTAACACAATTTATCACCACTTGGTAACCTAGCAAAACATTAATTGTCTAATTATGACGTACCTAAGAGTCCTTTTAAACTCACTTTTGTACAATTACTATTATTATAATAAAGCACAAGAGCAAATGATGCATGTTATTAAGCTACACTTGGAAAAGCGTTTTTCCCTTGGACAACTAAATTTAACATGCACCCATATCCAAAATATTCTCAACGGTACGGAACCCTTCATGCGTGAGTCCGATTTACACATGGATGGTTTTTGTTTAATAGTAGTACAATATCTAAATAAAAATTATATAATATTTAATTCTACATATTTTATAGGCTCTCCGAACGATATACCAGTATTTATATCATATCCATAACTACAAATATATTTTTGCTTATTCCTTTTTTTAAAAGAGCTCATGGAATGCGTTCGATGACAATGATGCGAGTTCCATCATTTTTGTTCTATTTTTTTAAATCAAAACTAGCTAGGACTTGACTGCCATCCCTGATGGTAAGTGGCGATGCAGCCGTTGATGGTAAGCGCACTGGCTCAGTAGAAACGTATTTACTCTTGCCTTGAAGACTCCTACGTTGTATTCGGACGCCGGAGGCTATTCCGTTCCTTAGCTGTACGGATGATAAATGAAGAAGCGAATCGCTTTCATTTCAAAAACTATGTATATTAAAAAATTGTTATGTATGTCCATAAAAGAAGGATAAATTTTCAAGATATAGTAATGTTCATGATTTAAATACTAGGAACAAGCATAAATTGATCCTACCCACAAGTAAACTGCGTAGTAAAAGTAAATCTTTTATGGGATAATGTATACTTTTCTACAACAAAATCAGACCCAGAAAAACAAACCAGAAAACGTTCAAAATGCACCAATATCTAAATTTAAAAAAATAGTAAAAAAAAGTTTGTGTGTTAATTGAAGGCTATTATAATATTAATGATTATTTAAATGATAACACACTCTGGTAATGAATTGATCGATCCAGGCTTTTTCCATCAATTTTTATATTGTATTTATAATATATTCATGTCACACCGTGTAAGTCAAAAAATGATAAAAAAAGTTTCTATCGCCAGTTCTTCTCAATATTGGCTTTCTTTTCCGAACCGGTGGTAGTATTTCGACTATCAATAAGTAAGTATAATGCTCCTATAATGAATAAAGATATTTGAGTTTTGTTTAAATGGAAGATAGCGAATTAAACTATACGACGTTATTCTTCAAAATAAGAAACCTTACATTGATAAATTTTTATTTACACTTATATTACCATCACGGTACTATACCAAAATTTCGTACGGGTCGACTAATTAACTTAAAATTCTAAAAATGAAACATCAATATATTTTGCTTAATTTATTGATACAATCTTCAACAACAAATGGAATACTACAAGATGCCAAAATGTTAATATTTATTCTATATCCTTACTTATTAAAACTAAGTTTAATTAAATTCATATAAGATTTAATATATAATAAATCACATTAACAACTTTCAGTTGAAAAAACTAATTAAAGGAACATAATGCTAGCCATTGTTTGTACAATGGGTGTTACACACCTTGAAATGATAATATTTTTATTCAGTCCAAATAGAATATTTAACTTGCTGAAATGACCGGCGACATTTAATAGTTTTAATAAAGTTTTTGTAGAAAAGTAACATACTGAGAAAATAGGGAAATAAAAACATAATTTATTTCTAAACTCATAAGTACTACTATATTAAGCATGCAACACATGCAATATTTTTTGGTATTAAACACAGACATGTTACTAAAGTTCTTGCGATATTATTAATAATTGGGATCAGAATTTTTATATAACACCTTGTGGAAGAATAAAACATTTACGGAAATTATTATATGATCTCGAAATCTATTTCATGATTTTTTTATTGTATATTTAATGATTCTAAATAATCTTGCAATTAAGTTCATATATAGAATAGTTTTGAATTTACGTTTAACTAGAAATGAAAGCCGGCAGATCATTAACTTAAAACACCCCAATATACAATGAAAAAGCCTCTCATTACATAGCTAGACATACAAAATATTACTCAAACCTTTAATCCAAAATAAAAATAAAATTTAGTTCACTCCCTTATATTGCAATATTTTATAAAAATCACATCAGTAATAATCACAAATTTTAAATTTCAAACCAAAGCCGCGTCAATTCAATCATACTAAATAGTTCAGAAAAGAATGTGTATTTAGAGCTTTTGAAGAACAGCTGATTACGCTTACATAATTAATTATTATACGAGGATAAAAATGTATCTCCTCAACAAGGAAGGCGGTCCTTCTGCATAACACAATACTTTTACGAAATACGGTTATAGATTTTATTAAATAGATAAAATATTTCTATGCCATTATTATTCTACTAAAAAGATTCTATTAATTATGTTAATTAAATATAAAATTACTTTAGTGTAAGGAGTAAACATGAAACGTGCGTATTTATTTTAATTATGCCTTTACTGCAGCCTGTGTCTCTCATAGAGATATTATTTATAAAATAGGTGAGCCAACATACTCGAGGAGTGTCACATACACGTGAGGGTAAAATTACATAGTATTGCCTTCCCTCTTTGACACACACTCTCTCTCTCTCCCTCTCTCTCTGTTTTATGAATATTATCTCTATATTATTATAAAAAGCTAATTATTGAGTTGCGTTGTGTTAGCGTTCAGTTGAGATGGAAACCGCGTTCGTTGGTCGCGGCCAGCAGCCTCTCGCGGAGCACCTCTTTGCACGAGTACTCTGGCAGCTTCAGGTAGTGCACGCAAGTGTTCACCGACGGATAGGAGCCATCGCCCGCGTCGACCTTAGAGAACCAAATCACAATGAAACCAATCATCTCCAAGCGAAAACGTTTTATTCACATCTATCGAATGAGAGACGAAAATTAATATCGAACGGAATTATACGACAAGAAGAAACTTAGTTTTATTATTCAATTTATTATGTATCTACGTTGTTTAAGAATTCTCAACACAATTAGTTTATTAAGTTAATTTCCTGTGTAAACTTCTAAAACACTGCTTGCATATCAAGCTCCAATGAAAGAGGAATTCTTGATTAATAAAAATCTTCAATTTATATTTGACGTTGGGTCGATCCAATAATACAGAGAAATCCGTCGCGTTGGTGGGATCCAGGTAAGCTTGCGATGACTGCTGTTGCCTTTGAACAGATTCTGCAACTAATAGAAAAGCCGGACCGCGATGCCGAGGGCTATGTCGATGTGCCTTCGGGAACAGACACGAACAGGTATCTTCTTTATTACCAGATTATACCAGATATTACAGATTCTTTCTACCTTGCGCACCACGGTGAGGCGCGGGTGCAGGTTGGCGAGGCCGCCGGGGGGCAGGCTGCTGCAGCCCGTGGCGAACTGCAGGAACGCCTTGCGCTCGCGCACCGACATCTCCACCAGCACCTCCACCAAGCGCAGGAAGCCGGGACTAGAGGTAAGTGGGAATGAAATACACGGAAGGGGGCGTCTATTAACTACTATTAACCCTTAAAATATGTAGAAAAAATGCCGAAGACGTGGGTTCGATTCCCACAGCGGCGACAATCTTTTCGCACTTTTTCTACATATTTTAATGTTCAATCTTAAGTGTAAAGATTAGCACTATAAACAATTTAAATTACTATTAACCCTAATGAGAAAACCGTACTTTACTGATCACATGCAAAACGAACCACAGGTGAACACATTATTTCGTAGTTATAATTTTTGAAGATTTTGAAGATTCTTTATTGTTATTATAGGATATATATATCTATACCTGTCCCGCGTATAGCCCAGCTTGGGCTCGGTGTACTGCAGCAGGTGGTCGCGCGTCCAGTCGGCGCCGCGCTCGCCGCACAGCAGCAGCCGCAGCTCGGCGGGCGAGAAGGCGCGCAGCCGCCGCGGCGGGAACACAGCGCCGAAGCCCGCGCGGAACGCGCCCGCCTGCCGCCGCACGCCGCCCGCCACCGCCCAGCGCGCCGACGCGGACGCGTACGCGCGCGCGTTCCACGGCCCCACCTGCACAGACAGCGGTACTGTACTCGCTCACGCGTGGACACGTACGCCATGTGGGGCCACGAAATGTGAAGTGGAAGTTTCCTACTTTCGCGCTTCGTCCGGTGAGTGTATTAGCTGGGTACAATCGCCACAGCGAAGCGTGCGGAAGCGGACGCACACGCGCGCGAGTTCCACGGCCCCAACTGCACCGACGGTAATCGTTCACGCGTGGTTACATCCGCCATGTGGGGGGGCCACGAAATAGCGTCTGCTGTTTCGCGAACGGCCCACGGCCGCATGGAAGTCCGGCGTGAATTGGAAGTTTTATACTTTTGCGTTTCGTCCGGTGAGTGAAGTAGCTGGGCGACACCCGCCACCACCCATTGCGCGAAAGCGGACGCGCATTCCACGGCCCCACTTACACAGACAGCGGTATTCATTCACGCGTGGCCACGTACGCCACGTTGGACCACGAAACAGCGTTTGCTGTTGCACGAACGGGCCGCCGCCGCACGAAGTCCGGCGTGAAGTCGTGGATATATTTTGCGTATGGAAAACATATTATTGTCTATGTGAGACGAGGTTGAGTTTCGTATGTTTCTTTTTTCTATCTCTGATTTAATCTGATTACCCTGCGGTAGGGCCACGCAACAGCCGTCGCCGTTGCACGAATGGTAGAGGAAGACTACTATAGATCTTTCTAGGTCGCAGTGCTGTAATACAGTTGCGGTTGTGGGCCGTCCCAAGAGCGCACCTCGACGTGCTCGCCGCCGTCGCAGAGCGGCTGCAGGGCGACGGCGGGGTCCGGGTGAGATGCCACGTGGCTCATGGTGAGCGCCAGCTGCTCGAAAGTGGCGCCCTCCACGGTGATCTCGCCCACTCGCCTCTCCCGCTCGCCCTCCGTCAGCGACGGATCGGACATCACCGCGTCGTACTCGTCCGCCGCCGACGTCACACTCGCCAGGAACCTGATTAATTATATTTTTGCTAACACTTTATGAACATCGATAAATTTACAACGTCGGACTTAATTGTTTAAGAAGCTAGCCCGTAAATTACAAAAAATATATAAAAATATAATAAGTGTTTAAAATGTAAGTTTTATGTTAAATTAAGCGAAATTTCGATTGGCAGAAGCCAGTTCGATTTATAGGAGCGTGCGTGCAGTGTTTAATGTACGGATTTGAAAAAAACGTACTTAGGTACAAGACTGATAATTGCTTATTGCATTGTCTTTATATATAATATAAAAAAGAGAAAAAATTGCCCGAGTGTATGTCGTGAATAAAGAATTCGCATAATAATTACTAATAATATTACTAAAAAAAGGCTGTACTATACCTATATCTTATAGGATCTATCTCCTCTAGGTGTTCTGTTGTTAGTTCTTCACCACACATAAGACGTAAGAAGGGCTCCGATAAAGGCAAATCAACGAGCCGCCCGTCTTGCAACACCTAAAGAAGTATATACATTACATTATACATTTACATAATAATTAAGATATATAATAGAAATAATATAAAATGAGAATACTTGCTTTAGCTAGAAATACTCCTAGGAACCAAAAATATTTGCAAACTTTATCACAGATAGGAGAATCTTGAGGAAGTGGGGCTGGAAACAGCCCGCCAACACGAGTAACGTAATATCCAGGAGGTTTCTCTGTAAACGAAAACCTTCCATTAATTACCTATTAATAGTTTTTTGAGCTTGTGTAAAATCTTCAGAATATAATGTTAAACATGCCATACTTTTATCCGACATTTAAAGTGAATTTATACAGCGTGTCGTTCCCACCGCGACAATAAATGAACACACATATAGAGGATAAATTTTTAAAATTGATTTAAACATTTACATTCTTCAAACATCAATATTTACAGAGTTATTAAATTTTCCAAAACAAAGAATTTTAGAACACCCTTACATATAAAACTGTAACGTAAAGTTCATTTGTAAAGGTCACAAATCATATGAATGGGTTGAATGAATTTAAAAGAGACAAAACATACTGTTAGAAGAAGAGGCTTGTAATGCGACGCTGTGGCTCGAGTTGTATAGGATGTTACAAATTTACTTTCTTTTTTACTTAATTAGTTTGTTTGAAAAATATTTCTTTTTAATTATGGATTTTGTTTAACGTTAATATTTTTTATGGTTATTGGCAAGTAGCGTTAGACGTGTGTTCATTTATTGTCGCGATGGTAACGACACGCTCTATAACCACAAATACTATTACATTTTCATTACTGCATCATTTTAAAATTGAAAAACAATTATAATATTTAAGAAAATGATGAGCGGAAAATATGACGAAATCTAAACTTTGAAAGCTCTATAATGTCAACAAAAATTACACGTCACGATCGCCCGCTTTATTTTCATTTAAAAAACGTACAGCGGAAGATCGACCGCATTTATAAAAATGTCAAAAGTTTACCGTCGAGTAGCGAGAGGTGGTGTAAGTGTTCAGAGTGGTCCACGGCGTGGTGTTCGGTTACGGGGTCGTGGTCGTGGTCGTCGTGGTCGACGTGGTCGTCGTGGTCGACGTGGTCGAGCTGCGGCGGGTCGTGCAGCCACATCGAGAGGTCGGCGCGCTGCAGCTCGGCCGCCACCAGCGCGTAGAACTCCAGCGTGGGCCCAAGCCCGGTGCCCTCCTCGCCGGCGAACTCCACCTCGAGCACCGACTTGCGGCCAGCGTGCACGCGCATCACCTTAACACCCCGCAAACAAATTATTCATAAATAGCCTCATAATAAAGTACTAACTGTTTAAGTTCTGCTGGCAGACAAAGATTACTCAGAAAGACACTGCGTATAGTGTTCAGTTAGATGACTCCGTGGCGCAGTTGCCAAGCTTAGGCGCCGCGGTACGTGTGTTCGATTCCCACGCGAGACAACTATTTGTGTGACCCACATATAATTCTTTCAGATATGGGTGTTTGTCTATGTTAGAGTAATGTATGTAAAAATTATAATGTGTAAAGTAAACAGGATAATGTTATTATACACTTAAGGTCAATGTTTCCGAAGGGAAGACTACAATAGATTTTCTAAATTGCAATGATAATTGGGACTTACTAGCCAACCCCTTCCACACAAAATACAATACTGTTAAAGTTTTGCAGGAAGGGCAGTCCAAGACTATTCAGAAAGACACTGCACATAGATGGTGGTAACTTGTTGCTGATGCCCACTCTGTTTTTGGATGGATACGAGACAAAAATTTACACTACAAAAAGTTGTTCCTGCAAGTAATATTGGACATCTATACTACATAATCTATACTATATAATCTTCCATAAGGCTTTTATTACATTTCTCAGCATCAATTTTCATTTTATCCATAGAAAATAGCTATTTTGTATGTATATGTTGCTGATAAATATGATTTACGTCTAATAGAATGTAATTTGGCTTGTCTTAATGAAAAGAAAATCTTGTCTGAGAAGTCTTGGTAATGTTCCACATCAACACAACTCAAGTAAAATATTACATCTCAGCAACATGGCATAGCATGGTTATGAATTATGATTTGTGTGGAAGGGGTGGGGTAGTAAGTCCCAACAATCACTGCAACCTAAAAGATCCATTGTAGTTTTTCTTTTGAAGTTAGATCGCCTCCTCCAAACTAACGACCCTTACGATGTTGATGGTCGATGAAGGGCTTTCACAGCTGCCAACTTGGCCCTCCCAGTTCCCCAATCCTAATATTGACCAAGCAATCGCATTCATAAATTATGTAGAACGGTGTCTCCTTGTTGTCACCGCAGAATCTATAGAATGGGCTCTCCAACATTCCCATTTTGTTTAAATGCTTGATCAAACACACCTGCATAGCAGAGCGTAGCAAGTTGGGCTGGCGCGGGATTCGAACTCGTTCATGTCGTAGACGACCTGTGCGAAACTCCGTTGCCTCTATCTCGGCACGCCGAGGGGACACAGTGTTACCCGCTCTGCGATAATAATAAATATATAAATATTTTCAGGACATATTTTTACACAATGTTATCTAGCCCCAAAATAAGCAAAGCTTGTACTATGGGTGCTAGATAACTGAAGAACATACTTAAACATAATGCAGTATATTATGTATTTAGTATGTGTCATAGTTCTTACGTGTCAAATAAATCATTGAACCATAAATGTCTTCTTATGCTAGCATTTTTCTTTTATAAATAAATACATATTAGAGATAATATAAATTACAAGACACTAGAAAAACGCTATATTCATTACATTTTGGAGTATTCTGGAGCGGTGCAAGAACCAGGATCACCACACCACTACGCCAATCGGGTCATCGTAATAAATACTAAATTTACAATTTTTTTTCGAAAAAAATAAATGAACACTGCATTTTAATGAACATTACAGTTTCAGCAATAAAAATTAAACTATTGCGGGTACATGCACATCGCGGTAACTTTGTTTACCTTTGCCTGTCCAATGCCCGGTCACGCTGCGCCTGCAGCCAAACTATAGTACGCGAAGTACCGAAAGCTGTGCAAGCGAAAAACATTTGCCTCGTCTCCAACGGGAACAAGAATGGGCACCAGTTGTTTAGTTGTTGACACCTGTGAACAAATTGGAAGTAAAACACTGCGATTTAGGCTTATAAATAATGTAACATACTCGTTTTATTAAGCATTAATTATTTAACATTTATAGCTCTTTACAATTTTACATCTGTCACCACCGGCAGAGGCAACATGCGCTTTCGCTTTTATTATGAACTGCAGTGGGAATTCATACTACTGGTGGAAGTTGGGAGTTCAGAAACTATCGGTCGGCGCCAGATGGAACGCGTGGTTGTCGCTTTCGTTATGTCAGTGGGAGGTCAGAGACATGTGGAACGCCCGCTTGGTGCTTTTGTCATGTCAATGGGAGGTGAGAAGTGAGAGATAATTGGTGTCGATGGGTGGTACCAGTGCGGGGCGGCGCCGGCGGCGAGCGTGAGCGGGTCCTGCAGCTGCTGGTGCAGCTTGTTGGTGAGCTTGGTGGAGAGGAATGCGTGGGGCGGCAGGTCCGGCGCGGCCGCGCGCAGCCGCCGCAGCACGCGCACGCAGCACGTCACCATGGCGCCCTCGGGCCCATCGCAGCCCGCCACGCCGCGCTCTGGCACCGCAAAAATACAAACATTTAATTCTATCACATTTCACTCTAAGTCCACTGACACTTGGCCTCCAGCACGGAATTTATATTTTTTTCACAAATCTTTTTGTTTCTCCGTCCCGGTGCCGTGAAATATATTCTTAATAGAATCGCAGTAAAATATAAAAAAAAAAACAGTTTTATGAATAAAATAAATTAAGGAAATCTACTGGAATGGCTTAGTTGTTGGATATCATTTTATTAAATGTAATAAATATATTTCTTATTTATGGCAATAACGGCTATTGAAATTTAAAGAAAAACATTATTTATACATTTCACTAATTAAGATTAAAATATACCGCAAATATACATATTTTATGACTGAATTTTAACACTTCTTCTTTATATGAAATATTGATTAACAAGTATGAACGAAGAATATTATACCTGGATCACAAGGCTCATCATCCTCACTATCGCTGGACGATGCAAATGTTTCCATACCGTCGATTTCCTTATACGTCAACCTGTAGTTATAAAAAACACTACATTAAAATTCCTTTGGTCGATAAACAGTTTAAAAATCAAAAAAAAAACGTTGCTTTTAATTTTATTACTTAACATCTTTGTTTATAAGTATTCATATAATATTGAATTATATGAACAAATTTGTATTACTTAACATCATATTATGTTATTTAATATGCTTAAAAGTAAAAAGTTTTAAAACGAAACAAAGCACTTAATTTCCATAACAAGGGGGGTTATTCCTCAGCTCGCTCCGAACACAGCTCATACAGCAGGCTTGACAGTAGGCAGTCGATAGGGTTGCCAAAACTGTTGGCAGTAAGACGGTGCCGCACTCACGTGTAAGTGGCGTCCCTGTGCGTGTCGTGCGGCGGCAGCTTGGCGTTAAGCGCGAGCACGGCCCGGTACAGGGTCCAGGAGGCGCGCTCCAGTGGCAGCGACACCCCGCCCGAGCTCAGCACGAGCCGCAGTGAGGGGAGCCGCGCGGCAACACTAGTGCTCTCCGTCACTATGTTGCCGTTCGTCTCCTCAGAGCTGTCTTCGACGTCCGAGTCCTCATTCAGTGGGATGTCGAGATCTATGGAAATCAGCAATGTTATAATGGACATGATATTGATTCATTAAACGGGAAAATACGTTTTCTACAATAATAATTATGTTAAATTTTTGTATATAGGCCATTTAAATGTAATAGAAAATTAAAAAAAAAAACATTTCTTTAAATTGAAGTGTATGATAATATGTTGTAATTTTAAACAGCCGTAAGTTCAATTATTTTTCATTATCAACTTAAATATTTTGTGTATAAAAGAAGGTAGTCTAGAAATTTGTAATCACCATTCATTGGCATCTAGACGCTACTTTTGCTGTGTGCATACAAGAAGAGAATTTTGTCACCAAAAACGAAACTTGAGTGCAGCTAAAATGAAGTAACCTACCCTAATAATTAAATTAGAACAATCTCTCATATTTAAATTTATATCATGTAAGAATCCTCATAAATGTGTCCAAAAGTGGTGCTGGGATCTCCATCACATCAGCTTGGAACTCTCCATTATACTGGAAAATCCAAGACAAATGTGTGCAAAATGCTACGACGGAACATGTTTGCATTTTATTTAAATTTAAATTGGTAATACTTAATATGATTATCAAGTTTTAATATTGCTACCAGAATACCAGAGTATTCCATAGAGTAGTTTTTATACAATTTCAATTATGTAACCCGAGGCCCAGTTTCTTAGCTGGTGGCAATGTACCTGCAATCCAGACGTTGCTGCAGATGTCCATTGGCGTCAGTAATCACTAGCCTTTCACAACACACCAAAAAAAAATGAAAATGAACCCTCACCAACGGTCTGGTTGAGGTTGGTCCTTCCGGGGCGCGGGTCGAAGGCGGGTATGAGCGCAGAGAACTGGCGTTTGAGCACAAAATCGTCGTCCCAGGGCTTGCGGGAACGAGGTCCAGCGCCACCAGCTCCACCACCACCTCCGCTGCACCGCACCACCTCCAACGCCTCCTCCTCCATCAGGGACAGCAGATTGCGGGAAACCTGAAAACAATTACACTAGTGTAAGACGAATAAATAAAAAAGTAAATAGCCTTATGGTTACACAATCATATATACACAAGACACATACAAGACTAGCGATGAATGGTATTGTTATAAATTCAAGAATGTTTTAATATATTGTGGAATAAGGTTTGCAAATTCGCTTCACATATTTGCAGACCAATGACAACAAGTTTCTTATTATATAATAAGTTTATCAAATATTAGTACCTCTTGATAAGTAGGATCATTTTCCTTATCGCTATCGAGGACGTCATCTCCTTCGTCATCGTCGTCTAGTTCAGTTAACAATGCTGGTGCTCTACAAGATTCTAGGAAATCTTCCAAGGAAACCTAAAAAGGTTATACAAAATGTAAATTCATATTGTCATCAATTGTCTCAATAAAAGCTGAGAATACATGACAAAAAAATCTTTAAAGTAAAAGAGAAAAACAAACATAGTTAAAAAATGTAGACTTATTTGATATCTTTCCTATAATAATTATCACTGACTAGTTACAAATTACCTGTTCGCTTTCACTCGAGGTTGAGGTCAAAGACAAAGTAAGTGCATTTTGCGCATTTGGAGCCAGCGATGGGTAACTTTGAGCAGCAGACAGCAAGCCTCCAGGAAAGTTACTAGACAGCGCCAGTCGGACCAGGCTGTGAAACAGTTACAAAATTAAGAATTTAATACAATGGTCATAGATGAATTTCGCTTAATTTTTGCGCTCCCTTAAACTCGACCACTGAAGAACACTAATCGAAAACATAGAATTGATCAGATAAATTTACTTAAATTGTTATTTTAGTAAGAATATATAGAATATTCCAAATACACACAAATCACTGCCATTATTTTCCAGTTAATAAAATCTCTCATCGCGGTAATAATGTTCTTTCTCTGAATTTTCATGTTTTACCTTAAGTGCAGAGATTAGCACTATAAAATATTTAAATTTCAAATGTCTGTGAGATATATAGGTAGGTAGTGGTATTACTCGGTCGAATCGGTTTATCTGCTCTTATTGCTCTTCCAAAGTTCGAAAATCCATACTAATATTATAAACGCGAATGTTTGTAGGTATGGATGGATGTTTGTTACTCTTTAAGGCAAATACTATTGAATGGATGTTAATGAAAATACAATAAAATAGCTTATACATCAGAATGAAACATAGGCTATAATTTATATACATATTTATATGTATAATCTGTCTTTCTGTCTGAATGTTACGTCTTCAGCCTATTCTACGCAGACGTAGTCGCGGGCAGCAGCTATAAGTAAATAAAATGACAGACACAATAAATGCAGGCGTTCTTACCTAGGGAAGAGGCTGGCGGTGTGGTTAGGGCGCGAGCTGCGTTGTGGCGCAGCCGATCGCACAGCGGAGCCGCGGCCCACTCCTAGCGACTCGAGAAGTCGCGCCGCGCCAAGCACACAACTCTATAATAATGCAAATATTGCTTAGAGGCATTAAGAGCCATTTACACGGTGCAAGTTTCTTGCCTGTTGTATACAATTAAATTGAAGCAATAAATGTGTTGCATGGTCTAAACAACAAATGGTCTAACAAATTATTGCGCGCAATTTATTGCATTCAATTATTGCTCTTGTATGTACAAGAAAATGGCATCGTGTAAATGGGCCTTTAGTCTCGTCCTTTTTTATTTGCACAAGATATCACCTTTAGAATTAAAGGGACCTAATTAAGAAAATCATAATTTTAACTTTGTCAGGGTAAAATCATTATAGAACTTAACTTACTTTTTATCATTTTAATAATCTTTGCAAAAAAGCGATATTTTAATTATATACCTGCTGCGTCAGATCAGGTTCACTTGCGCTCATGGCACCGGTGCCACCAGCTTGATTGTCCTTCTTGTGATCACTATATTGACCTTCATTACTTTCACTGTCCTCGCACTATAGGAAGAGAAAGTTTTTTAAGCAAGATAAGTATATTATCATTTAAAAAGTAATTTCAAAGAATGATTTAAAAAGTAAAAAAAATGTTAAAATACAATTTTTAAATAATAATACCAGTGTTAGAACATGATAAGTTTTAAGATAGCTTGAATAACAATGATCTCATTGCAATCATTAAACCTTGAAGAGATTTATATTATGGTATTGTAATTAAGGTATAAATTTCGATTATTCCAGGGTTTCTGTAAAATAGTACCATGCCCAACCATCCCATAAATGTAGCAGAAAAATACATATATAGATAGGCCATCAAGCAACAATCATGCAGACAATGTAGAGCTTCTAATAATTATGAACGCTGTGCCATTTTTAATATTAGTATTCCCCGTCCTTTGCACTTCCATTATGATGTAAGAGCTTTACAAGACAAGCTTACAAGATGCTTGACTTTGTACAGGTGACGTGGGTCTCAATACAAATTTCTTGGAAAACTCAAACTTCACCATTTAACAGCCGCACTCAGGAACGTCGTTTAGCGCATTTATTAGCTTACAATTAATTTATCGGTCAAGTGGAGTGTTTAATTAATATAAATAGTGTAGGAAGTTAAAGTCAGTTCGGTGGTTATTGGCGTATGGGAGTGTGACCGGAAGGGCGCATATACGGGCGCGGTGAAGCTTGATGTTGGATGGTTCCCCGCTCGGACGCAAACGCTCACCTGGATATGCAAGCGGTTGGCGTTGTTTCGCAGCGTGTGCAGCAGCGAAGCGGGCAGGGCGAGCAGCTCGCTCGACAGCAGAGCGTTGGCGCTGTTCCTCATCGCATCGCTGTCGTTGCCACGCGCCTCGCCCTCCTGTGCGCGCGAGCACTCCTTCTCATTGGTCGACAGTTCGGTCCACATACAGCACAAGGAATACGCCCAATGGCGTGCGCTTGTCGAACCACTCTACTTTTGCCATCGACCAATGGAAATTGTTTCCCGAATGGCATAGGTTTTAAGAAATCACCCGCACGTTGAGTGATTTCTGTGTCGATCAATAGAGAGCGACCACCCGCGTGCTTTCTAGCTACGACGCATTGATAATAACCGATCTCAGTATCGAATTATGTTAGATTAAGATGTGTTATTGTGGGAGGTGACTTTCCAAAGTGAACATTAGTATTGTTATCCATACTTTGAATTGGTTGTAATTTATGCCAGTGTTTAATAAGCGTCAACACAGCGTTATTTTGCGATTTTTGGACGTATTTATTTGTTAAATGTTTTAGATTACCAATGTACATATTTACATAAAAGTACAATATCAAATAAAAATTTTAATATGTTACAAACCTCTTGTGTATTAGCTTCTGGAAGTGGTTCCTTTGCGGGATACGGTTTTGTTATGTCTGTGATGCTGGTCGGTCCCATCTCCATATTCGTAAATGATGCGCCTCCTAAGTCTGCTAAGCAGTTGTTACCTTCGGCTCCAAGAGTCAATGACTCCACAATGGTTGCGAGATCTAAGAAAAAAAGGAATAAAACAAGGTAATAAGTAAAATGGTGATTAAATGAAAGAAATCATAAATTTAACCATAATCTAAATGACGCTAACTTTAAATGCTCCCAAGAAAAGAACAAGTTAAAGACCTTGATAAAATATAGTGATAAGATACCCTGCAGTCAAGTCAAGTTAAAATGACTAGGTCCTCAAAGTAAATATCGCCGTAAACTAAATATCGTATGTAATGTTATATAAATAACGTATATAAATAATATATAAATATCGTATGTCTGCGGAACCCCACTGCTACACTGTATGGGGTTAACTGTTGCATCATCAATGTACTATCTGATCTTGCATATGTAATATAACCCAACTTGAACTTTAGCATAAACATTACCTGTATTAATATGGTGGGAAGAGTTGTTGATAGCGGATACATCTTCTGTGGCGTGCATTCGTGGCCGCGACATGTTACTCGACATTTCCTCGCCAGATATATTATCTGCCGACGACGCTTGTTCAGTTGACGCTACCGACACCTGACAAATAAATAATATACATAATACGTTATTTCAAAGACAGTTTAGTTAATTTGTATTGCATCATACAGCGGATCATTACCCAACCATCAAAAAGTAAAACTGTTATATTTTTTTAAACATCCTGAAAAATTGTTCAAACGATAATTTCTACACTATGAAAATAAATCTGTGGATTAATATGAAACAAATTGCAAGTACACAACGAATAAATGATAACAAACAAATATTAATAATCTGGAATGCCATTACAAATAATAATGTTTGAATTACACTCTTCTTATGAGGTACATTGTACTTGGTTGGAATAACTGAAATTCCCAAATTATTATGCATAAAAAGGAAAGTTTGAAGATATTTGCTACAGCGGTACGAATCGCTGTAATAGACTGTTCTCGAGGTTCACCAAGTCTTATCGGTGCGTAAGTATCGCTGGCGGTATTGTATCGTAATTTTTGTGGAAGGGGTTGGGTAGTCAGAGCCAACGAGCACTGAAATCTAAAAAGATCTGTAGCCTTGTTCTCTAAAACATTGCCCCTTTACTGTAGGACTTTTAAAAACTATTCTTCTGAAAATATTGGTCTGCTTATTACTTATAAGTAAATCACTTATGCCCAGTTTCCGAAAGGCCAATCAAAGCAGCAATCACATAACACTATGTCAAAAATGATCAGCTGTTAATCTCTTGTTAAACTGCCTTGGGTTTCTGGAAGGTTTGTCCAAGAAAAATTAGCTAATCACTGTATAACCAACGATAATGAATGAAATGAATGATTTACTTCAACTAACTCTTTCTATTGTATAGCTGTCCCTTTTTAAACAAAACTTAAATTAACGTCACTATCCAGTCCTGTCACCGTGTGATTGCCAACGTAAAAATCCGAGCTATAATAAAATTTAATTTATATAAATACATGCAAAATGTCAAGAAAAAACATTACAGAACGTGAACAAAAATGAACTTTTATCCATAATAAACAAGTAAGTATTATAAAAAGGAAGAATCCATATTATTTATTAACTTTTGAATTGCATTTTCTATTTTTTCTAATCGCATGATATGTTCGCATAATAATAAATAATAAATAGGTAATAGAACACATGAATTTCCTTATAACGTATTAGGGAATTATGTTTATTTCTAATAAAAACTAAGATTTTTGATAAAATACATTTTTAACCAACGATTGATCGTCCAAATTGACAGATTACTTAATAAAACTTTTGACAGCTCGTTGACCACCGAAAAACGCTTTCAGAAACTCGATTTTCTGTTGATTGTCCGTTAATCAGTGACTAATTGCAAATCAAAATCAATGATCATCAACGTTTGACAGGAGATTTATCGTAAATTAAAATTGATTGCGCTTTCGGAAACTGGGTGTTAGTGTTAGTTATTACATACATTATTAAAATAACATATTCATAATGAATGTTGTTCTTTTGTAATTTAAATGCAAATTTAGTAATATGTTAATACATATTACTAATCAGTGAGTCTGTTATGATTAAGTTAATGTTCTAATTTGTATTTTGTGACCACTCCAAATGTTCGTGAATTTCACATGGTCGTGTCTGTGGGTCGCACAAATAGTTGTCCCGTGCGGGAATCAAGCCCACTACCCCCGGCGCCGAAGCCAATACCTTGGCAACTGCGCCACGGAGTCATCATCGCTTGTGGACTGGTTCCGCAGGGGCGCGCTCACCTGGTGGTCGACGGCGGTGGCGTCGGGCAGGCTGGGCGTGGAGTGGCTCTTGCGGCTGGCCCGGGACTCGCTGCCCCCCGCGCCCGCGCCGCTCGCCCCCCCGCTCACCACTTTCAGGTCGAACTTGCCCTCCGCGCCCATCCGATACGAGTTGCGCCCGCCGTGATCCCACCTGTTATGAAAATCGCAAAACCGTATACATTTAAGACGATTACGTTCAAAATATAATTAAACAATAATTTCATATAAAGCAAGTTATTCTCTTCTCTTCTGTTCCGGAACTGGAGCTCTCTGTTACCGGAAGCAATAAAATATGTACTTTCACAAGAGTACAAGAACTTTTTTGAATTTTGAAGGTTCGTGAATATAAAATATAAATCGTAGGAACATAAAGTAAAAAATCATATCCTTTAACTTAATTACTTCTTAATTAACACTAGAATATTACTTATATCTTTATATCATGCTGAGTGGCTGCATCGCCACTTGCCATCAGGTGGGATGGCAGTCAAGTCCTAGCCAGTTATTGAATTTTAAAAAAAATACCAGTTTTGTGTTACTAAACAATTGGTTTAACTTTCAAATAAGATATCACATTACATTTTTTTTAAAGTTAATGCCTTTTTCATTGGCAGTAAATAAGTTTTTTCATACTGGAATAATAATTTCAAGACATATATTTTACACCAAGTTATTTAGCCTGCATCTCTATCCTTCCTGTAGCGGGGTTCAAAGTTTAAACCCACACTTCTGATGTAATTGGGTTGCCAATTGATCGTTTCCGGCGATCTATCCGGCCATAGCAATACCTGACATCGACCCATCCGTTGTGCAGTTCGGACGTGACGGTGCCCATCGCCGGGTGCGAGGTGCCGTCCTGGTCACGCCACTTCCAGTCGGTGCCACGGAGCACCCTCGCGCCCACGCAGAGGCCGCGCGTGCAGCGCGACCAGCGGCGGGACCTGGCGCTGCCGCCGCCCCCGCCCCCGCCCCCGCCGCCCACCGCCGGCCCCGTGGCGGCGCCCGAGCTGGCCCCGCTGCCGCACTGCCGCGGCGGACTCTCGACCACGCTCACCACCTTCGCATTGTAATGAACACATTAGGGGCCCGACTCGGAGACGACAGTTGACACTTAGCTCACCGAGTAGTTTTTTATTAATATAAGACTGAAATTTCGAGAATGCGATAAATGTTATTATTTGGAGAGGCAGAGGAGTAGTTCATCACATAATATCTGTGATTACCGCCAGACAAGGGTTTTATTAATAAAAGGTTAAGATTTACTGCTACTACTAGTACTACTACTAGAGCTATAGTCTTTTCATGGATTTAAACTTGAGCTCATACCATGAAAATGCAAAGGAGCTGCTTCTACTTTACACTGGTCGAGGCCATGGGACTTTCCCGCTTGGACCTGCCCAGAGACACACAGAGCAAAAGCTGCCATAGAGCCATAGTGCACACTACCCCAGTAGTGACTGTACAAGTTGTTTAAGCCGTTTCACCTTTCCGTAGAGCTCGAGGCCGGAGAGGGAAAGGTAGTGGCTCTGGCCGCTGGCGTTCTTGCCGTTCTGCTGCACGCGCAAGTAGCGGTAGGCGGCGTCGGCGCGCAGCCTCCACGTGGCCGTGCTGCCGGGCTCCTGCAGCGCCTGCTCGTCGCTATGCGCCGCCAAGGTGCTCCACGCCACGCCGTCCATCGACATCTGCAACGTTGCATTCCGTTTACTCGGTAGCAGCGGACGTTAGACAGAAGGATTTTTTTTTATATTTAGAACATGTTCATATTCAGAACATCAACATTAATTCAAACCTCGCCTCGTAACACGAACACTAAAATATAATATAGAGTTCACAATAAACATTTAAAAATATTATAATATATGGTGATAAATAGTTAACAGTAAGTATTTCTTTTTTTTTTTTTTTTTTCATTTGATAATGTGCCAAACATAGCAATTTGTGAAGTGGACAAATCAATAACATAAAAACATATTCTTTAATAAATTGCCCAGTTTCTATAAGACAATTTTATTTGCCTGAATATTTTAAAATTTTAAAATTTGTAGTCTGAAGCTAAAACTTTTGAACTTATAACACACACTTGCTTCCCCATAGTAAAATAAGGTTGGTAATTATTATGTAATATAAAAACTTACTTGGAACAACCAATTTCTAAGAGCCGATCGTCCATATCCTCGAGCATGACGCAAGGTGTAAGCTGAAGGTACAATATGCAATCCGAGGTCCAGCGCTATAAAGGCCCTTCTGTCATCATTCGTGTGGACATTCAATGGCTCGGGCGACCTGGAGAGGGCGTCTTCGGCGCGTCCGTACGGTAACTGTCGGCCATCGGAAGACCAAACACTAACTAAGCCGTGAGCGCCAGGATTCACCCACTCACTGGTGCCGGCGTTGCTACCGATGAAGTATAGCACACCATTTTCATCAAAGTCGTGCTAAAACAAATAAAAAAAGTGTTCATTATAAAATGTTTTCTCTTACATATAAAACCTTGGGGGATTATTGAACAAAGCCTTTCTTGATACTATAACTTATCACACTGCAGTTTTAATATTATTTCGTGAACATTCAAATTTAACTTTATATTGACAAAAATAAAAGTTTTGTATTTTTGTACTTGTATCGAAGGTTCAATGGTTCCGTTTTCAGATAAAAGAAGAAAGGAATAGTCCAAAAATTACGTAGTAAACGTAAATCTGTTCCAAATTGACGTATTTTAGGGACCGACCGACAACTTAAGCAAATAGTGGCATAGGAGGGGAAAAATTTGCGAATCTCAGTTATACATTCGTGCAACTTATCGCGTTACCCTGTGCAGGCAATATTCCATGACACCAACCTTCAGTATCCCATATAGACCTCAAAATCGACTACTGCGCAATCGGATCCAATTGTCAAAATGTTTGCCGATCGGAATACTTGTTGTACGCGATAAAGTGAATATCAACTCGGCTTACATCGTAGGTGAAGGTGATAGGGGCTTCGGCCTTGATCTTCTGGACGAAGGTGAATGTGGACCGGTCCATGTCGTACCACTGGCGCGCGACGGACTTTGCGAGGAACTTTTCGAGTTGGCGCACGGTGGTTAGGGCTTCCACCTTCAGGTTGCGGCCGGCGTTGTTGCTGCTGCTTGTGCCACCGTCCTCCGTTGTATCGTCCGTGGCGCGCTCAACGCGCAGTCTATAATTTCGATAATTCACTTAATAAAATCAACCGTGATTACGAGTTTAATTTGAAAAAGTATCGTGTTTATTAACTTTATCGATCCAGACTAGTGTTACGGACGCAGGATTTAAAAAAGGCCTTAGAAAAAATTGCCACCGTACTGTACTGTAATAAACTTATATTTTAAGGATGTATTTACACGCATAAACTTCACGTTGACAAATGCCCAAATAGCTTCCTCGCGTGGGAATCGAACCCACGACGCCGATAGCACGGCAACAGCGCCACGGAGCGCACGGAGCGCACGGAGTCGCACCTGATGCGCTTGGCGAGGTGGTGCAGCGAGCCGGCGGCGGGTGCGGGCGCGTCCGCCGCCGGCGCGAGCACCGGCAGCCGCTCGACGCTCTCGAGCACGGCGACGAGCCGCGCGGCGAGCGCCTCGCCCGCCCGCCACTCGGCGCCGCTCACCCACTCGTGCACGATCCGCTCCCGCTCGGCGGTCTGCCCGGCCGACTCTGAAACGGCACACCGTCACTCCTATTCCATTGGCGGAGAAAGAACCGGCCAGGTGCGAGTTGAACTCGTACGCCGAGGGCTCTGTACTTTACCATTATACCGCCATAATTTCAAATTGATAAATTTAGGTCAACCGGAAGTAGCCCATAAGTTTATCGTAGTTAGTAGTAGGTAGTTCACGTTGTCCAAGAATCACGAAATTTGGCAAAAAGCAAGGATTTACAGCACAAATAAAGGGAAAATTCCGAAAAGTAAAAAAAGTTCAAGATTAAGGTAAATCTTGGTACAATGCATATCACATTTTGTAAAGTCGGTACATAAGTGACTTAAAATAACTAAAAACTTGTGGCACACATTTGTATACTTGGTTTTTATTACTATGTATATAATTTCTGATGGCAAAAGTAAAACTCTGACAATAAATGAAAATTGAAGAAAATACCATTTGGTTGTGGCGAAAGGACTTGCAGCAAAGACGGTGCTAGCCCCGAAGATTGCAACTCGTAAGCTGAGAGCAGTTCATCACCACAAAGAAGCTCTGTCAGTTGATCCAATGACTCCTTCAGTTGCTTCTGCCAATCACCTAATTAGCACATAATTATGTCTTAGTACAAATAGTTAACATTTATTATAAAATTTACAAGTGTTATGGAAATTGCTAAAGTAAGTGTGTTACAAGCTTCAAAACCATTAAAAATTGTTTTAGAAAAAATCGATTTTTAGATGATCAAAAACCAAAATCGAATGCAGACTTAAAAGATTCTAAAACCATTATTACAGTTGCTTATCTTCTATATCAAGTTTTTGCTTAACCAACAAGCATTTTATGGCGAGGAGTTCGATAAAAAGTTTTTGGAAAAATGTTGACTGTAATGTTGAATGTAAGGTCAAATAATAGGGTTTATAATTACCGGTCGGCTGCTCGGCGAGACGTTGCAGCTGAGCGAGAAGCGCACGAAGACGCGCTACAGGTGGGCGAGGCTGGCGTGTGGCTGCACTGCAAAGGTGGCGCGCGTACAACGCACGCGCCCGTTCCGCCACCTGCACGCGATTCAATTCATGTATTTGTATTGTTTTTCTTCACTTCAAATGTCTGTACTGTTTTTCTGTCATTTTAATTAATACATTCTCTGGTATGACTTGGTCATATGACTCTTTCAAATCTAAAACATGATAATGCCAACAAAAAACGTGCCTTTTAATTTTATTTGTATTTTATTTTTAGTGCTAACCTTTCAGATGAAACTCATGCACATATAGATAGATAAATTAAATTTCAATAGCGAAATCTCTAGTTTTCAAGAATTAGATTATATACTGTGTTTACTGTGGTAGGGCCACGCAGCAGCCTCTCCTAGCAGCAGCAGTCGCACGAATGGGCTGGCCCGTCCGGGTAAGTAGCACATCCTCACAGAAGACCGGCGTAAAGTGGAAGTATGATAAATACTTTCGCGTTTCGCTTGGTGAGGCGCAATTTTTAAAAGGTTGTCAACGCATCTGGAACCCTCTGGTGTAGCAGATGTCCATGGGCGGCGGTATTCACTTAACATCAGGTGAACCGCCTGCTCGCTTGTCAATTTTTCGCATAAAAAAAAAGATTAGGTCCGACATCGAGATTTTCGCGCGATCATAATATCGACCACTAAGCTTATTGGCTAAGGCGTGGGAACGCGTCGGAAGGCGCAGATCCGAATTTTAGCGATGGAAAATGATGAAAAATTTTTCGACAATTTATTACTACACATTTTGAATTATAATTTATTTCTAAAATACAAACTTGTGTTTTTTGCGCTTCCGTTTTCGCTGAGATCCGAGATCGGTTTTGGCTGTTATTCCCATTGTTTACAACTGCTGGTCTTCGATCTACCCAGCCGCTAGCTAATTCTGGACCTAGAAACATACAAATGCATGACTAATTGTTTCAAATCTATAGATAATGTTAAAACAAATATTTAGCATAATCTGTACCTAAAAATGTTTCAGCTGTAAAAGAGTGTTTCGTTCCTCTATTGGACTCAAAAATAAATCCTGGCAAATCTTCCCGAAGTATGGTTGTCTGTTGTTGGCCATCCGTATTATGGATAAGTAGTTCCTTCTCCCTAAAACATGACAGTGTTTAAATTGAAATATCTTATTTTCTTCATCATTTTTACTCTTAATTATTATTAAACCTACTTTTTACAAGATAATATCCAGTTTCCAAGGATGAGTTTGGCAGGTCCTGGTTTAGAGAGGATAGGTTGAGGCACTGAATTCTTCACTGATGCCCTGGCTCTCTGCAGTTTGTCAATGAATTCTCCACGATTCTCTGAAAATGTTCACACATTAATACAAACAGTTTAGATAAACATAACTAAAAAAAAAACTCCCGACCTCCCATTTTAGATGGTAATCTTCAGGTAAACGATAATAATAAAGTCATATCATTAAGCTTAAATTTAGCTATGACCATCTCAGGGATATGTTCAAAAAAATTATTTGAGTGACGCCTGTCTATAAATAAAATAAACAAAAGAACATTTTAATTTACATTGAATTATAAACATCCCTATCCAGTAATTTTTTCGAATCCAGCAGCACGGAACCGGTAAAAAGGCTAGTTTCCATCGATTGTCGATTCAGGGCCGTCGAAGCGTTATGATAGCACTTCGTCTGTGTGTGTGTATGTATGTGGATGCTATTATGAGGAAGGTGTACCCGTGTTGTCGGTCTGGTGCTCGGGGCTGCCGCTGGAGTACATGGTGGCGAGCTTGCCGTCGAGCAGGAAGCGGAACCAGCCGTTGCTGCCGGTGCTCAGCTCCAAGGCGGCCGCGTCGCTCCAAGCGTAGAGCGCGTCCCGCCCGCGGCACAGCGACCACTCGCCCCAGCTGTACGCCACGCCGCTCGACAGGCACGACGCGTCCTCACCGGTGCCTGCGGTAAGCACTATATATTTTAATTATACTAAAACAAAAAAAAAATTATACTAGCGGACCGGACAGGCGTAAAAAAACACACAAATTATACTAGCCGACCGGTTGTCCTGTGCACGCACGACTTAAATTCGACAACTTAGAAATAAAAAAGAAAAATTGTAGTGGATCGAATTGTGAATCTAAACCACTCTCGAATCGAATGAAGAAGAATGAAGAGTGAAGAATGAAGGCACACAAGAAATTTCATTGAAATTGGTCCAGCCGTTTAGGAGGGGTTCAGTCACATACACACATACAGAAGAATTATAAGACCTTTCATTAAACATTAACATTTACCGAGTTATTTAATTTATCAAAACAAATAACTTTAGAAAACCCCTATGAATACAAATTTAACGTAAATTTCATTTGTAAACGTCGCAAAGCATTTATGGATTGTTTGAATGAATTTAAAAGAGGAAAAACATACTGTTAGAAGGTGACACTTGTAACGCGACGTTGTGGCAACGAATGAAGAAGTCTCTGAATGTATTAATTAGTCAGCTGTAGTTGTAGGATGTTACAAATTTTGTTTCTTTTTTTTTAAGTAGTTTAAATTTTTTTTTTAATTATGGCTCTAACTAGGCTTTTAACGTTTATATTTTTTTATGATTATTGGCAAGTACGTTAGAAGTGTTCATTTAAGGTCGCGGTTATAACTCCATGCTGTATATAGTATAATCCTCAAAATTCTACTAGAAACGCGAAAGTTTATTGGTGCACGCCACTGAGATTTAATTCACATCGCAACACCGACGCGCTTATGAGTGGGCCGTGAGTTTTTTTTTTAACCACCGTGTTTTTTTTCAGTTGTATAAAAACTAATAAATTATTCAATGTATTCACAGGATATTTCTAAAGATATTCAAATAACATTAACAAATCCAAAACCATAACATGGTACTAGTGTAAAGGAAAATAGAATTCAATTAACCTGCAGCTATAGTTTCACCGTCGGGGGAGAGTTGATGCGCTGGTACAGCGGCCAATGACTCAACTTTACTAAAGACTCCAAGACGCGCGAACTGCTCCAAGTAGATGTCGGCCGCCTTCACCATCAACTCCTCGGCGATGCCCAATACGATCAGGTGTCCATCATCATCATCCTTGAAAAATTAAAGAAATTATAATTTTAAAAATTTACTGGTACGGTTAAATTATTTAAAAATGACCTCATTGTTGTGCTTAAATCACGTCCTGATGTGATTTTGCTAATACTTACTAATTATCTAAAATGTTAAGTTCTCACAGTCCATACCAATTACAACTTTTTAAATACAATAACATGACACTGTCATTGAAAAGTGGATAGAAAGCGCACAATACAAGACTGTTTATTGCAGGTAAATTTCGATGGTGTGACGTTTTCTATACAAATATGTTCAATCCGAATAGAGAAAATTTACTTTTATATTTTAATTATCATTACAGAAAACAATGGAATGAACAGCATTCATTAGTAATTTGAATATTAATGGTGCATATTATATTTACAAATAGAAAACAAACATAAACATGGAAAATTCAGGTACATATTATGAAGTAGCAATTAAAATTATATTTAAGGATGGCTTGATGAAAATGTTTCATTTTTATCAAGAAACAAAATAATATTTTATTACTAATTCGCTAAGTAATAAAAACTTAATTAATCATTAAACATTGAGGAAAGGAGTCTAATATTCATTTTTGTCACTTTCCCCTCATTATATTTATAAATATAAACATAGACATTCTTTTAGTATGCAATAAGGCTGTATAAATTACAGAAATAAAATTATTAAAAACAAAAACGTTATAAATTACATAAGATACTTTCATCCAATAACCATTTTATTTATTTTTATGTGATATTTATTACTGTAGACAAACATGCCAATCTCATTTAAAAAACTGTTTAACATTTCAAATCAACTATTATTTCTTTTATTTAGATTGTGTTATTAATTTATTACACAATGCTGATTTCTAACACGGATAATAAAGAATAATAGTTTTCAGTAGTTATTTGTCGAAATATTTAAATATTGATCGCAAATGTTTTAAAACAGTCCTAGTCTGAGAGAAAAAATGAGCTTAATATCCCCTTACTCGTAAAAGTTTCTAATAACTGTTTCATACAGTGGTCCAAGTGACAGCCTAAACAATTTTAGCATAGCACACATTGATTAACTCGGGTTTGTTTGGGATTATGCATGTCATGGCAGCTGGGATGATAGCATTCATCACACCATCGGAAGATTACCAGCGGGACGCGGATATAGCGGCTGCGCAGGTACCGCTGTTGAGGGCGCCGGCCCGCTGAGACCTCGCCCTGTCACCAGTAGCGGACACCGATTATAAATGGCACACTAAGATTACCAGTACCATTACAAGCTAAGTGTCGCTTGATTATATTTGTCTTTGCTTACCAGTTAAAAGAATCATATTTTAATATATATAATTATATATGCATATAACTTTAGAGCTAGATTAACTAAACAGGCGAACAAGGAGAAATAAGTGTAAGCTTATAATAATTGGTCAAAAAAGCCAAATAACTAATAAACAATCTTATTTTACTATATCCTAATAGATAAAGATATGCCATTTAGATAGTTTCCAAAGCAGAGGCAAGTATGACCAAAAATTGTAACACACTCTCAAACAAACACTTTGACAAGTTGCTGTTCTTGATGTCAATATGTAATAAAGCATTGATTAATATTTCATTTTGTTCTCCTTGCCTGTTATGCATATTTGGTATTATTATGAATTGACAATGTTTTAAAAACTGAATGAGTACAACTATCAATATTTTAATATGGCACCAATACTTTGATTCAATAATACTTTTGAGTAGACTAATAAAGAAAGAATGGTATTTTTTCATCCATAAATAAAGCTGCCACACTGAAGGTATTATATAATGTACCTGTACATTTTAAATTGAATAAGAAATATTTATTTTATACAAGAAACATTTTTGATTCAGTGCAGGGTGGATTTAATTTAAGAAAAGCTTATTTAATGTGCAAATTATTACATTTTTATGTTTATTCTTATATTTATTTATTTGGTTGATGTAAGAAATGCTATTGCAACATACATATAATCAGTATTATTTTTTCCTTTTTTATCAGTTCTGGTCTTTATTTGCCAGTCGACAAGTTATCAATCATAACTTATCACATTGGTATTAAAGAGCTAAGAAAATTAATGAACAACTATGAATACGAGTTAAGTAAAATAATGTTTAGTAACCTGTTACAACAATTCACCAATTCCTAGAAAAATATTAATGATTGAATATAAAAAATGACCTTTGAATATGCTATATGAAAAGAATTGCTCCATTGGCCAATGAATGAACAATGTTATTGATTATTAAAACATGTAGAAAAAATACGAAAAGATTGTCGCCGCTGTGGGAATCGAACCCACGTCTTCGGCATTCACGGCCTGACGCTCTAGCCACTGAGCTAAACGGCTGATAGCCACAGCGACGAAAATCTTAACGCCTTCTTTCTACATTGTTATTTAGCATTGAAGCAATGCTTGGCGCATCTATTGTTATATCCATTCAGCATACAAACAATTTCGAATATCGTTTTACAACGATAATTCGAACAAGAGATGTCGCCATTGCTTTTTATAAATTTTAAAGTTTTTTATAGTGCTAATCTCTGCACTTAAGATTGAACATTAAAATATGTGGGTTCGATTTCCCACAGCGGCGACAATCTTTTCGTACTTTTTCTACATGTTTTAATGTTCAATCTTAAGTGCAAAGATTAGCACTATAAAAAACTTTAAAATATAATGTTATTGATTATAAGAGTGAGAGAGAGGGAGCACATGAAACAGTAATTAAAAAGAGAAATCTAAGGAAATCTGAGGATATGACTTCTTAGGAGCAAGTAAGTTTGAGAGTAAGAGAGAGTGAGTGAGAAGGATAAGACAGAGAGCAGCAGAGATGTGTGAGGAAAGTGATATTGAGACAATAAACACCTGATTGTCGAGTACGTTGGCTATGAGGTGCGTGAGGAGAGCGGCCGCACGCGGAGTGGAGAGCGACCGCAGCAGCGTGGCGGGCGCGTAGTGCACCATCTTGCGTACCAAAGAAAGACAAGCGCGACGTACACCCGCACTGCCTGCGCCCAGGTAGCGCGCGCAAAACACGGGCACCAGCCGCCTGGGATACAATATTCGCGTTCATCATTCCATCTCGCTTAGACTCAAACTCGGTCAATCTTAATTTCACGTTTTAAGATATTTGTATTGCCTTCGTATTTTCTGTGGAAGGGGTTGGGTTGCAAGTCCCAACAATCACTGTGACCTAGAAGATCTATTACAGGGATATAAAAAACAGAATAAAAAATATTTAAGTGGGGCTCCCATACAACAGACATAATTTTTTGGCCGTTTGCATAAATAATGGTACGGAACCCTACGTGCGCGAGTCCGACTAGCACTTGGCTGGTTTTTTTTGTTAAATTTAAAATCAATGCAGACAAGCAACTCAGTGAAAAAATAAAACAAATTTCTCTGAAACCACATAAATAAAAAAACTATACCATTACTTCTTCAATGAATATGTGAAGTGCTCTTACTCTAAATAAATTGCAGCCATCTCTTTATCACCAGTTTCTGGGAAGTCCTCTTCATTTAAAGAAGCCGGCGAGTCATGATTACTGACTACGAGCCACTCGCCTGGGCACTGCAGTATGGCTGCTACTTCTCTGTGACCTATAATTATTGCATTATTTAAAATATTACATACAGAAAACAAAATGCAAATCTAATGTAAATTATCTATAAACCTTGATCATGTCTCTCTCTCGCTTTATCCAGCGGAGTTTTGCCATCTTCGTCGCGCAAATCTGCATTGGCACCGTAGCGAAGCAAGACCTTGGCGATTGCCGGACGCCCAAAGCACGCAGCGTAGTGCAAAGACGAGCTACGTTGACCACGGTTGACGTCCGCGCCTAAATGTAACAAGTTATAGGCACTTTTTTCTTCCAGTCTCAAAGTTACACCAAAACTATTGTAACCAGAATTAAAATAATATAGTAGATTAGTACTGAAAAATTGAATTATGGGCTCTCCATTTTTTGGTGTGATTTTTACAACACACATAGTAGAGAAAACTTTAGTTTGATTGACAGAATACATTTGGATTACTGTTTATTTAAAGTGAAGTTGAAAATAATGTTTCAACATTACTAAATTGTAGCCCAGACAGATCCATTACAGATTTTATTCAAAGCCTTGCAGCCTGTGAGGCGCGAAGTAAAAAAAAATCATTCCCACCATTCAAACACAATATTATCGTAACCACCTTTCTCGCATAGGAACTCCACCATCTCGCGCGTGCCGAAGGCAGCCGCCCAGTTCAGCAGCGTCTGGCCGACGTCGTCCGTGAAGTTGACATCCACCGCGCCGCTGGAGACTGCCGATAGCAGGGCGTCCGTGTCCTTCCCGCGGATGCAGTCGATCAGCTGCCGGTGTGACTTGTCGCCTCTAGTCCCGCTGCTCACGCCGCCCCCACCGCTCGAGCCCTCCCCGCTGGCCCCGCTGCTCGAGCCCGTCACGGAGTTCCCGTTGCGGCTGCTTACACTGCGACACGTGAATTCAATAGTTTAGATTGATCAAGTTATTATTGTGTAAACTTCTTTAGGCGCGCTGAGCCGTATCGTTTGGCTCGTACGGATAAAGTCGGCTCGAGTCGACCGAGGGACCCCGAGAGTCAACGCGTCATGCTTTACTCGCTCAGCAACCGTTAGAGCCCGACCACACAGCGTTTTGCATCGAGGACAGGCTCTTACACGAGAGAGCGTGACATAAACACGGTATGTGTCTTGCCCATACATTTTATTTAATACATTTCTGGAAATATTTCATTTAGGAATGAAACATATTGATATGGCGCTGAAAGGAGTCTCTAAGGGCAGCTATAAACCATTAAACACCTCTTTAACTATCACAAGTTACCACACATTTTTAGGGCCATTATTGTTGTTTTAAATATATATACTAATGATTGGATTCAAAAATAATAAAACCAATACACTAACAAATAAAAAACTTACGTTTGTATAGCATGTCTCCCTTCACACAGGAGAACAAGCAGTAAATCAACTAGACGCATGCACTCTAAGCACCACCGCTCATCAGCCTGAACTGCTGCCTCAATTGCCGAGCAGAGGTCCAAGCGAACCAAGTCCTTAAACAGAGAGATTAGCATTTTTAGGGTTCCGTACCCACAGGATAAAATAAATAGGGTCCGTGTTATTAAGGCTTCGCAGTCTGTCCGCCCGTCTAACAAAAAAATAAAATAAAAAAATATTTAAGTGGGGCTCCCATATAACAAACATGATTTTTTTGTAGTTTTTATAGAAAATGGTATGGAAATCTTCATGCGCAAGTCCGACTCGTACTTGGCCGGTTTTTATATGATTATATTAAACATGTTAAAAGAATGATAGATATTTTTAGATATTATAAAATGAACTATTACAACTTAAAATATAATTTTACTACAATTATAATATAACAATATAAAATAAACTTCCCTTATCAAAAAATTCTGAATGTAAGAACAACATTTTTCTAAAAACTTACATGAGTTATCTGTGCTGAGCCGCGACACAAGGTGGACAGAAGGCTAACAGTTGTAGACACAGAAGGGACAAGGCACTTATCTTCAGTGCTTTCAGTGCTACCGAGTCTTCGTACTAATTCCTCTATGAGACCTATGACAGATATTGTAGTTTTAATACAAAGACATTTGTATTTGTTTGTCTCTATGAAAATGTGATATATTTAGAGTTACTAAATTACATTCTATTTTTTTTCTATTTTTTTATGGGGGAAGGTGGCAAGCAAACTGGTGGATCACCTGATGTTAAGTATTAACCGCCTCCCTTGGACATTTACAACACCCTTAGAATTGCAGATGTGTTGCCACCTTAATATAACTTAAAAATTTGAACCTTATCACAATGTATGCATACTAAATAACTAGTAATACTCGGATGTTTCTAAAAGTTTAACACTAAATTAAGGTAGTGACAAGAACCCACCATGCTCAGCAAGTGGAGCTGGATCAGCATGTGCTCGGGCAAATCTATCCGCAAGGGACGCAAAGCATCGTAATGCAGCATCAGCAACTCTGGCATCACTATGTCTCAAAAGAGTTGATAGTGAGGATACAGCATCTCCTACACGCTCATCTCCTGGTTCCATTTTACCACAAACCCTAGAAAACATTTGAAATTACTATGATTTTAATAAAGTGGAATGCATTTGCAAAGTGAACAATATCTAAATATGAATATGCAGTATTCAAAATGACAAAGCACATTTATTTATGCTGTATTAATATTATAAACCTTGAAACAACTGCCATAGCTGAGTGGAGTGTGTCTTTATGCACAGATGTGCCATAATGTGTGATAAAATGCAATACAGCTGGTAGACCGCCACCTTCCCAGACTGCACCTGCCTCTCGAGTACACACTAATTCTAATACCTGAAAATTTATACATATCCTGTTTACTAAGGTATTTAAAAAAATAAAAAGGTACGAAGAACATATTCACGATAATAAATAAATAGTAATGAATTTTATTAAATTACATATATACACTCACTTTGATGCACTGTTCAGCAAGATCTTTACTAGTGCGGTTATTTGGATCAACTGTAAGTAACCTACTACAGATAGCCTTAATAGCACCTTCAATAGCTACAATGCGTCTAGTACATTCAGCTGAAAAAAAGAATTATTTGTATAAATTATATATAATACCATTTATTTAAATTTTTTCTTGTTTATTAAAATTAACATTTTTTATAAATCTTAGTAAATCTACCTGAAACATCTAGGTAATATGTTATGGCTCTTGCTGTGACTTCCAAAACATTATCTGGAGCGCATTCATCCAGGAATATTTTGCAAAGGGCTGGGAGAAATGTTCGAGGAGGACAGCTGTAAGATGATTAAAAACAATAAGGATAAAATTGTCACAAAAATTCTTAAATTTATTGTCAGTCACATTGTTATACTATATTAATAACTGAACTAAAAGTGTGTATTACACATTAGTGTTTATCTATTCTATTTATAAAGACAAAGCCTGATGTTGTACCTCTCAAAACATCTATCGACATTATCTGACATTAACAGGAGCATACATAGTTGTTCTAAAGCAATAAGTTGCATATCCCGTTCATCGCCTTGCCCAGTAAGCAACCATTCCAACAAGGTTTCCGGGTCTACTTCCGCCATCTTAAAAGTAAGAAATTAATTTAGTAAGTGTATTTACTTACTAAAAGAATAGAAAATATTATAAAAATCAACAATGTTAGAAGTCATAATTCTAACCTTGTAGCAGATAGTAATGTACAACCCTCTGCAACAAAAAAAATTTATTAAATCTTCCTTAAAAAGAATCACTATTACAAAATTAACTATTTTCCCTTTAAAACTTGTAGAAAAAATACGTATTTTCCCTTTTACATGATTGCAGAGCCTCTACTTGCTAGTAAATAATAATTAGCAGAAATGCTCATCCACTTGTTTATTTGCTTGTTCATCTCAAGCCATTTTGTTTTTTGTATCATGGTCCTAAGACTACTTTGTTTCATTTGTTGTTGCAGTGACATATTTATGTTAATTTATAAAAAGTTTTTTGTAAATACACAGAGAAAACTATTGCTCTAACTATTAGTGGCGTAAAATGAAACAAATAAGATGAAATGTTATGGAGGCGAAAATAAATACTTTTTAAATTTTATATATTAAAAATGCCTGTAATTCAGGTAATTGTTATTTGTGACTTATTTTAAAAAAATTAAGGAATGTAGGTTACAACTGAATGATGCTCCTTTCTCTTTTACGACTACGACATAAACATATGAATGACAGTGAATCTTGTGACTCTAATATAACCGTATTCAAAAGCTCCAGAATGAAATAACACTCCAATATAACCAATTACAATCAATATAAATTACTAATATGAATAAAAATTATACAAAATAATAATAAAATATAAAAATGAAGGTGACAACAATGTCTTCTCAGACTTACAATCAATTAACCATTTCGACTATGCCGTTATAATCACTTTATCAATACACTTTTTACTTGATATAATGAAATATAATTGTAATGACGAACGAATCTCATTTATGTACATTTATATACATTAACGTATAAATATTTTCCATATTCGTACCAAAAGCAGCAATCAAACTAAACAATATGTAAGAACAATGTATGATGAATTGATGAATGATCTTACGACGACGCAGTGTTCAGTGTTGCCATCAAGTTTTAGAGAATTTTCTAAATTGTACAAGGATTCCAAGTTATGTTAGAATGGGATGAGCCTCTTAGTGCAATTTTATGATATGTTTGGAATAATAAGTACTTAATTATTTAACTTATAACAATAACCTTGTGATTAACAGCGGATTGCCGTATATTATATGGTAACGCAAAATCTGCCATATACCGTATTATCTGAAATAATCTGTTCGAATTACCGTATATTACGGCAATTGCTTTCTTTGACTATTTTCTTTCATTGAACTGATTCTTCATAATGAAAATAGGAGAATAATGGACAAATTTACCATATACTTATAGATGGTTAGCGTTTATGTATACATTTATTGTTCCTCAAATTCCTCATTAGCTCAAATTCCTCAGCCACGCAGAACACAGGGGAGTACCGAACTACGCCGGCAGAAAGAATGCGGCTTATAAACCCACGACCATTTTTTTGTTAACATTAAAATTAACATGCGCAATCACACAACATAACATTAGGTATGTATACCCAAGAAGGCTAAGCAAATGTATTCCGTCTAGCTGAAAACGCGAAAACAGCGTATTTACACACTTAATACGCTGTTTTCGCATTCTAAGCTATCATCTCAGCAGTGAAGGCATCCACTTGTCTGACTGTGGGATAAATTTGAACTGCAACTCCTTGACGTCCACATAACATTTCAAGTTGAGCCGTTGTCAATACGCCAACGTGATTGGTAATATTTGTCAATAGTAATATTTGTCAATAAACCTATAGCTATACGAGTGCGAATTAAACTGAGACAATTATTTAGCACATAGACATATAGGATCTTTTTTTAAAAATCTATTTTTGCGCTGGCAAGGCCTCTCATATGAAATTCTTAAAGATAATTCTTCTTTATTTATAAATGAAACTTATTTTACGGATTTATCGCGTTTATTTTTAATTTAAATTCCTGACGTTTTGAACCCTTTACAGCGTTCATGGTCACGGGACAGACTGAGGTGTTAGACGTCTGATTGTCATAGTTAACCCGGGCTACCGTCAGTTTTTGAATTATTAATTTTGTGTCCGATCTATGCAAAGGGAGCTAATTGTATCTTGTCTTGCAGTAGTGGTTCGTTTCGGCCTAGATTTAATTTTATTGATAACAGGATCCCAAGCTGATGGTAGTACCCAAGTCTTCTTTATTTGCTTTAAATCGTTTTTCTTTTTTAGTCCCGGTTTCAATTTGACGCCCTTTTCTCATACGAGCAGCATCTCTGCTACGTCTACCCATATTTTATAATACCTAAGTATTAAAATGAAATCACTAAAAATAATAAAAATAAAAAGTTTTTTAACTCACTTCAAAAAACGGTTAGCATTAAAAAGTTTGTATTGATGTTAATTCTAATGTAATCAAATCTTGAAAATCTGACCTATATAAAGTAAAAAAAAGTAAAGTAACAGCCTATACATGTCCCACTGCTGGGCAAAGGCCTTCTCTATACAGAGGGTATCAGGGCATAGTCCACCACGCGGCCCAACTGCAGATTGGCGGACTATACACATCTTCGAATTATTTTTTTTGTAATTAATTCGAAAATATGCAGGTTTCATCATGATGTTTTCCTTCACCGCGGAACACGTGATAACTCAGCACTTAAAGTTCAAAACTGCATTGGTGCCGGCACGGCCGGGATCGAACTCAGGTTGCTAGAGTATATTGATTTAAAGGCGAGCGCCCGGACACTGAGCTATCAACCTATATAAGTTAACCTAACTAACCTGTAAGAAAATTTAACAATTTTTAGAGTCGGTGATTTTTAATGACGAAGAATTTTGTCTAGGAGGTAGATATTATTTCCAAAGTTAGTAGTGTCCAACCAATGATATTTTGGTAAACTACTAGATATACTAAAAATCGAAAAGGTATACTTTTCGATTTTTCTTTAGCTTCCAGGGTAAAAAAATGATATTTAATAATATAGATGTTGCATGTCCGCACGGCGTTTAAAAATTATTCCACAATATTATACTAGCTTTACGCCCGCGACTCCGCCCGTATGTACTACATTTTATATCGTGCTTAAAAAGTAGCTTATAGTCTTCCTCAATTCAAATTCAAAATCAAATATCTTTATTCAACAGAAGCATTACACTCACTTATTGATAGTCTAAATTTTATGAAAAATTTTTCAAATCGGACCAGTAGTTCCTGACATTAGCGAGTTCAAACAAAAAACTCTTAAGTTTTATAATATTAGTATAGATATTGTGCGGGATAACTTAGTTTAATAGTGTTTGTATAAGTAATTTACTGTTTAATTCATGTAACGTAAGTCGAAATAATTGCTTAAAACTTTGCTTAAAACTTGCTTAAAACTTGCTTATTTTAGATTGCCTATAAAAATGTCTGTATAATGAAATACTATAAGATTTTAATTGTATAACTGGTTTTATATGACTATTAACACATATGTTGTAAAATTAGTGCAATAAAATAATTAGAGAAAAAGTGTATTTTCATAGTGTCATCGTAATTGATAAAACATTAAATGTAATTATTTGTAATCTAGTCATAAGACCTCGTTTCTTTAAGGTAACGCACCAAGAGGGTGCCAAAGAAAAAATGTATGCTCTCTGATTGGATACCAATACGACAACCAATCAGAGAGCAGGAATTAATTCCCACAGGATCACATAAATATAGCGGCGTTTCGGGGCATCATCGCAGTCGACGAGCATCAAGATCTACCAGTGGAACAAGCAACTAGAAGAAGTCAGCAAGAAGAAGCCCTGCAGCTTGGAAGAGGAGGAGCCTGCAGCCACTAGAAGAACGTTTTATTGCATAAGAAAAAACTTGTACAAACGTCTGAAAATAAACAGTGTTCTTTCTGTCTTCACGACATTCTTGTTTCTTTACCAATCCAGCACACTGAAACGTGCATTGCGCACATTTAATGGTCCTTCAAGAGCCGGATCGGAAGTAAGGAAAAAAGAAGAACGAATACACAATGCCAGTGACAAGATCCGTCGGAAAAGGCCACAAGCCAACGGAGTTAGAACCGTCGTCCGAAGAAACATCGGGCACCAGCTCCGGCAGTGGGACAGCGACTACGGAAGAAACCACCACGACGGAAACCACGGCGACGGGAACGACGGCTACGGAACGCAGCGAAGCCACATCTCACGTCGAGGAGTCACCAGCCACCGAACAAACCACTGATAGAACAACGTCCACCGCCACGACTGCCATCGAAGCGCCCCCCGCTCAAGCCACATCCACGGCACCTATGGGGGCATCTACGGCCACTGCGGAAAAAAGCAGAACAGAACAAAGAAAACAGGTCGACGTCCGTTCACCAGGTAAGAGAAAAGGCGGTTCAATACGAGGCCAGTCGAAAGCACACAGGATTGCTAATGCCAAGGAAGAATTATTGCGATTACAGGTTGAACTCGCCACAGCCAGAATAGCAGCCATGGAAACCGAAGACACGGACGACGAAAAAGACGACGACTCCGCCTGCTCGAAGATCGAAATAGACGAACGTGTCGACAACTGGGTAGAATCTCACGTACCCACAAGGGTGCAGGCGGTTCCTATCGACAAAAAGACCGCCACCGACGAGCATCACCCACCGCAGCCAACACGATCAACAGCGGCGGGAGCACAGTCCGACCTGACAGAACTGGCCGTAGCGATCACCAAAGCTGTCAATGCCGCACAGCGACCGTAGTGCATCGCGCTACCGCACTTCAACGGAGCACAACAAGAATGGCTACCCTTTCGCGCTGTTTCTTTACCAATCCAGCACACTGAAACGTGCATTGCGCACAGATATTATCCTGTTATTTTTGTACGTCCCATCACTACTCAAAATACTTTTTAGTGCGATTCAGGTTAATATCGGCGCGCCGATTTTCCTGATTCCTGGCTTCCCGCTTTCCCGTTTAGCAGATTGGTGAAACGAACCTAAGGAAGTTGGGTTCAAGGTAATGTAAGTCAATTAAGTTAAAGCATTTTAATCCATCACGCACTGGCGGAAATATCTTTGGGGGCGCATTTCGACCGCCGCCGCACCAAATGATGATTTATGATTTTATGTGCCGCAGCCAAGGTGTTATTACATACGACGCTACGGACTGACAAAAGTGAAAAAACTGTTTATTTTTAGGGTTCCGTACCCACAGGGTAAAACGTGACCCTATTACTAAGACCCCGCTGTCTGTGTGCCTGCCTGTCTGCCATCGCTGTATCTCATGAACCGTGATAGTTAGACAGTGTTGTATTATCTGATATTTGTGCTTTCAGTGCCGAGATTATTAACGCTTTATCTAACGTAGAACCGGTGAGCTAGCCAGAACCCACGGGTGGGCCCTCCGCTGTGGGTAGGGCCGCACATGTACTCATGCATGCGTTTAACTATGGTGTGTCATCTAAGGGTCATCGAGGACGCAGTTTGGACCGAAACCCCGATGGCCATAGACTGTGCAATTAGCTAATCGGTGGCTGGGAGCGGTGAGAACCGCCCCGGAACGCGGGTGTACCTTGTGTACGCGTTGTGTTGGTCTCGACGTGCTCGGAAGCGAGGGCGAACTAATGTGTTTGTTGCTACACTAACTGTGTGTGTAATGTTATCCGGCGGGACCCCCGTCAGTGGGTTCGACGTACGTAAGTCCCCTTCCTCGATCGGGTCGATCAGGACGTTTCGCGGGCGATGCTTGTCGATGTTCGTATTCGACGTTTGGATCGGGTTGGTAATTTGCTGCGCTTACCACCAGAGGGTTGGGATGATATTCGGCTTTATCGAAAAACCGTTTGGTCAGGTCTTTGAAAGATTTGCGAATCGTCGGGAGTCTGCAATCGCTGTGCAGGTCGACGTTGCGTTGATACCACTGCGCACCGGTTGTGCGGCGGATGATCTTATTTTGCTCTATTTGCAACTTGTGCAAGCGAGTAGGGTGCGTGTCGGCGAAAATCATGCATGCGTAGGACATGATTGGCCGTACGCAAGTTTGTATAAAAGTAATTTGTGTTTTAAGGACATTTTACTTGACTGGTGAGTTAAAGTGCTTAGCCGGCTGGAGACGAACGCGGCTCTGTTACGGACGTTATTAATATGCGTTGTGAATGACATACGCGAGTCAAAAGTGACTCCTAAATATTTAACCTTTTCCTCCCAGGGGAGCGGTTGGCCATAAAGGGATATTTCGTGTGAAGTGAATCGCCACACTCTTTTCGGGATTTATTTCTATTCTCCATTTGCGGAACCCATCGCCAAGGCGGTCGGCGGCGCTTTGGAGTCGAGTGGTTAGTATTCTAAGGTTGCGGTATAAATAAAAGAGCGCGGTGTCATCCGCGAAAAGCGCGAGATTGGCGTGGGAGTCTTTTGGTATATCGCTCGTGTAGAGCGTAAAAAGTAAGGGTGACGTTAGACAGTCGAAATTTTCACAGATGATGTATTTCTGTTTCGTCTACAACAACAGAATAAAATATATTTAAGTGGGGCTCCCATACAACAGACATAATTTTTGATGTGAAACATCTATAGCCGCACGTAAAACCGATTTCTGGCGTGGCGACATGACGCGTCGCCACGGCATGCGTCATGCATTTTTGTATTTAATGAAAATAAATGTTTATTCAATAAATAGTCATTGTTAATTGGAAAAAAAATCGTAATGTTTTATTTTATCATTATGACATATTTAGTTCCTATCACAATCTGTTCTTTTCTGCATATTAGCAGTAATGGCAGCATTTTTTATTGTATATAACTGTGACTAGTGTTAGCTGCATTGACCTATGTACCTAGTTTGGGGCCGGATATGTCGATAAAACTCCCTTCAGGCTCCTTCATCGAGTTTCTTAAATAGGTGACTGTTGGTCAATAAAATAACATGCAGTATATAAATGGCGTACATTTATAACTGGTTTACTTATTTTACTGGACGTTAAGGCAATCCAATGGCACAGTATCTGCTATTGTTGCAATGAAAATCTGTGAGCCATAACGGACCAAAATATTCCCTTTTTTCTGAAACGTCTGCAGATATCCACGTCATGTGTCAACGAACGTGAAAAAGAAAATGCGTCGACCCACAAATTAACAACTTACGACGTCACACCAGTATTTTAAATTGTTCCGCCGTAAACTCTTACTGTGAATAAACGTCTACTCATAATATATTTAATTCATTTTTAGCCTAAAGGTCCTTGATACCGGGCCATAAAATCCAAAAAAAGATATTAAATTCATATAAGGGTGAATAAAATATCCGATGGCAATTTTATTCACCCTTATATGAATTTAATATTTTGTTTTTCAAAAATATGCAGCTAAGTGGGAAAAAGACAACGAATTTAAAGGTATGCTTAATTCAGATCTTTTATAATTGAATTATACTTATTCCCATTATTTATAGTCTGATTCTAAAAAAATAATGAAAATGATGATAACGTCACAAGAAAATGTATTTAATTTGTATAAAAAATTTTCAAGTCAATCAACAATGTTCAAAATCAAGTACCTATATTAATTAAATTTATTTTAAATAAAACAGTTTTGATTACAAAGGTTATTAATTTTTCCGATAATTATTCTACATTGGTAGATAATTAAAAAAAAATCACTTTTTCATTTAGGAAGTTTTTTTTTTTTAAATAGTGGATTTTAGGAAGTTTTTGAATTTCTTTAGAAGTTTTTTTTTTCAACAGTTGGTAACACTGACTGTCTAATCCTTGCTCATGATGATAATTTTCATTCCATTCTTCAATCGAAAATTATTGTGAATGTGAATTTGATCTGACTGGTTTGAATTTACAAATAAATATAAAGTTGTAACTGTATAATCTAATAATAAATAAAAATGAGTAAGGATAAAAGAGAAACCGAGTACCCAGTTGAATTGGAAAGTCAATTTATTATGAGACTTCCCGAAGAACCCGCAAAAGCATTAAGAGCTTTAATTACAAGTGGTGAAAATTTCAAGAGCAGACTATCTATAAATATTGAAAATGATATGCGGCACGGTGAAGTAAGATTCGACCATTGGCTACTACATGCTAAAATTGTAGACTTACCTACTATAATAGAATCGCTGAAAACAATTGATAGGAAAAGTGTATACAAAACCGCAAATATATGCCAATTAATGATATGTAAAGATGAAATTGATCATACAACTGACGAGGATGTACCTAATAAAAATAAGAAAAAAGATCCATTAAAAGTTGACAAAAAATTTCTTTGGCCACATGGTATAACTCCTCCAACTAAAAATATTCGTAGAAGACGTTTTAGAAAAACATTAAAAAAGAAATGTGCTGAAGCTCCTGAAATTGAAAAAGAAGTTAAAAGGCTTCTAAGAGCAGATAATGAAGCTATCAGTGTAACATGGGAAGTTATCAAAGAAGAAAATGACAATCCCAAGAGTGATGTTCCAGTGTCTGACAATACTAAAGTCAAGAAAAATCATACTGCTAAGGTAAAGTCATTGTCAGATAACCAATCGAAGGTTGAGGATATATTTGGTGGAGCTGTTAGTGATAGTGATCCTGATGATGACAATATTGATATAGAAGATAGCAGAATGTCTGCATGTGATGGACAAATATCTGATTCCAATTCTATTAATACCTCAGATTACAAAGCAAAGCAAAAAATCACTCAATTTAAATCTGAAATGTTTTATTCACGAGATTTGGTTGGTATATCTATTAATAAAAAGGCTGCTGCGTCTACATCAGTAACCAGCAATTCTAGAGAAGATTGTCAACATTTTGATGATAATACATCCCAAAGTATAAAACTGCAACAACTGACTACAGAGCTGGAGGAGTTAAAACTAAGGAGACATAGGACACAACTTGAAATTTCTGGTCTTCAAAATATGACTTTAAAGCAACGCTTCCAAGACATTTTGCAGACATTAAATAGTGAAATAGTATTAAAGGAAAAAGAGATTAGTATTGCTAAGAAATAAGTGGTTTTAAACAATTAAATAATTCTTAAAATTGATATTATTCAACAATATATAAAGTTAAAACCTTACTGAATTCATTAGATTGATTTGAAATAATAAGGTTGTGATAAGTTTAAATAAAAATTGATCCTTTGATTTGAACTTATTGCAATTTGGTTCTAACTAACTTTTTTTATAACTATTTAAGCCAAAAATGTTTATTTTCTTGAAATATTTATCTTGAATTTTGAAAAAATAGCTTGTAGTAAATTAAGATTTTTCATAATAGACATCTCCATTAGCACAAACATAATGTACATTAATTCTTCTATTATAATCTAGCTCTAAACAGTATAAACTATAAACTCCTAAAAATTGTAAATTTTTTTTACTAAAACTATTAACTTATTGAACAGTATTTATGTTCCATATTGATGTAATAATATAGGGCTGTGTCAATGTTCTAATGATCTCATTAATAAATAATAAATAAATTGCAACAAAATGACATAGTTTATTTGATATAACTCTACTTCATGAAAAAGACTATGATATGGTATAAAAGGTATGTAAGTAGAAAAATCTGAGTTCTTAAAATTTTCCAAATTTACAACTCTTGCCAAATGACATAACCAAATTAATGAATGGTTTCAATCTATTTCCTAAGCTTTTGAATATTTTGTTTATCCCAAGTTCTTGCTAGTTAAGGCAGCACAATCGCGTGTACACTGCGATTTATGTGGCCAGCTTAAGGTCGTACGTCTGTTGTCAGTCCAGCAGTGCTACCCACGCATGACGCGAGTGATTTGGACTTGACTATAATAGTACCTGTGCGACCGATTTTATACCGCCGTTTTTTTCTGTAAGGTTAATTTGGTTTGAGTAGGAGAGTTCGGGAAAAGTTGAGGGTGGTACCAATGGAGCCACTGTATTCATCCTCTGCAACCAAGTTTAAGCAAATTTAGGTTGAGTCAAGGGGGAAGAGAAGTGTTAGTTTTACGTTTGGCCGTTCTTCCTATTTCCTCCGCATTTCGACAAGGATTTCAAAACGCTGTTCTACTCCGTGACCGAAACGTGGTAAGCAGTGGAACCACAGACC